GTGGTAAATTAGCAGGTTTTTGAATGGAGTTTGGTGTAAAGGTGCTATAAACACAGTGGACAGGCAGTATGTGGTAAATCAGCAGGTTTTTGAATGGAGTTTGGTGTAAAGGTGCTATAAACACAGTGGACAGGCAGTATGTGGTAAATCAGCAGGTTTTTGAATGGAGTTTGGTGTAAAGGTGCTATAAACACAGTGGACAGAGCAGCCTGTGGTAAATCAGCAGGTTTTTGAATGGAGTTTGGTGTAAAGGTGCTATAAACAAACTACTGAATACAGCCACCAGAATGCAGCAACATGAACTCTCCCAGTTTGTTTCTCAGCTGAATTAAAACCTGTTTTGATCCGGACTCACTGACCTCTCTCGGCGGACCACCGGACCAGTACTCCCCGCCTCGGTGGCTTCCTGACCCGGGGGAAGGGTACCTCCTGCGCGGTGGGGAGCGGCGGTACGGGTCCGGGTGAGCATGGTCGTGGTATCCGGGGTGGTACGGAGGCCTGGGCCGGCTCCGGTCGTCTCTGTAACCCTGTGCCGGGTAAGGCCTCGGAGGCGGCGGGTGGCCTCCTCTCGGCGGAGGCCGACCACGGTACATCTCCTCCCGCAGAGACTGTGTGTCTCCCCGCGGTCAACCAGCTCCGCTCTCCAGCGGTTATTGAACCGGAAGCTGCAGGAACTTTACTTTGTGTCTGAATCAATTATTGATCAGTTTGATAAAAAGTGATTCTCACTGATTCTCTACATGCACACAGACCTCCTCTGTTCTTCTTCTTCTGTCCCTCTAACGGCAGCCTGCATCCTCGGTGCTGCACTACTGCCCCCTGCTGGAGGAACTCAGCTCCTGCAGGCTCCGGCTTCCGCCCCGGGGCTGCAGCTGGATAGTGGCTGCCTCTGTTCTCCCATCAGCCACCGCGCTCTGGGTAATGTTTGTACACTACTGCCCCCTGCTGGAGCAGAGCGGACACTGCGACTGTATTATTATGTATTATTTCATTTTCATTATAAACTTTAAATTAAGGTATATTTTACATTCTCAAAGAATATTTTTTAAGTTGCTCTGAGCTTTGTGGCCTTTATAAATGTTGTAATTAATACGACTGGAAGAGAGTCTGTGAATTACTGCTGATATTTATTTTTGTATGTATATCTTCTTGTATAGTCAAGTATCTATTATGCATATGCTATATATCATATCTTGTGTATATATATATATGTGTACATATTATATCTATTGTGTGTATATATATTACAGTATGTATGTATGCACACCTTACACAGGCTGAATATGACACGTTTACATTATGTCAATATTAATGTAATCTATGTGCATACATGTATATCTGTTCAGTTATCATATTATATATACATATTATATTATTATAAATATTATTAACATTATCATTATATACTGTTATCATTATATACTCTTATTAACAATATCACTACCATCATGTCATCAGTACTATTACAACCATCTTGCAACTACAACTCTTTGCACCTTACCTACCTATTTATCTTTTTTTTATATTTTCTAAGTATTTTATTCTATTGCTGTATTTTATTGTATTTTAATGTACCTGGCTGCTATGACTACCTGATTTCCCTCTTGGGATTAATAAAGTCTATCTATCTATCTATCTATCTATCTATCTATCTCCATCTATATATAATAAATATTAACCCTTTAAGTTTATCTAATTTAACCTGTTAGTTTGGATTCATTGTTGGTTTGTTTAACATCCACTGACGACACCTGTTGTTATTTACCTGTATCTCCTGTCCTTCTGTCCCTGCTACCTGAGCCTGTTTACACCTCACAGTGGACAGAGGGACCAGGACCAGGACCAGGTCACTGTGTCCTATTCTTTACATCCTCGTCACTCCAAAGGTAAGACCCTGATACAAACGACACAACCAACAGAACTTTTAAGTACATTTCCCACAATTCTCTGATATTTATAAAAATCTGCACACAAGTTCAGAGACCTGAATCCACTTTAGAGGGACCGTCTGTGAGACTGTGGCTGCATTCAGGTACTTTACAGCCAGGTATTCGGATTATGTGGCTGTGTTCATTATTGATCAGCAGACTCTGGAAGACTTTTGGCTGAGCACCGTTTGTCCGAGTTCACGTCAGAAACAATTAGCAGCTGAAGTAGTGACTGAGTGTAAACAGTGAACACTGAACGATTAATCTTTAATGTTCTACTTCACAAACAGAAATAACAAGACATAACTAACACATTTCCTTCTGTATGTCCTCTCAAACTTTACTGTTTTCAGTCGTTTGTTCCAAATATCTGGATTCATTTTAAAGATGGCTGCAGATTCAGAATTTGAGACAGTTTGAACCTTTTAAATGACACATTTGTTTAAAAGAGTTGAGAGTCAGATTGAAAGGAATAATGTTTATTGAATAAAACCAGCAGAAAGTATTAAAATCCAAACAAAGTTCTGACTCCTGAACGCTCCAACAGTGTCGAAGTTGTGTCGGCTGCAGATCCTCTAAAGACAAAACATCAACGTCTCAACGTTCAAATACAGAAAATATATTAAAATACAACATTTGAATATATCTTACTGTTAAAATACAGTTCAGCACCAACAGTTCTCAGCCTGGATCCTGAGCCGGGACTCGAGCGGGGACTGGAGCCGGGACTGGAGCCGGGATCAGTGGCTGATAGCTGATATAGATATAAAATCTGTTGTACAGTAAGTTCAGGTTTGTGTTAACAGTACAGGACTCAGATGGGTCTGAACACAGTCCTGAGAAATATTATATATATCATATATATATCAGAGAGTGAGACATAACACTGGTTCAACCACAGACTGTCTGTGTGTCAGTGTATACAGACAGACAGTGAGACATAATGCTGGTTCAACCACAGACTGTCTGTGTGTCAGTGTATACAGACAGACATTGTTCAATCACAGACATTAAAACAGGATGAGTCAATCCGCTGTTAGCAGAACGTTCTCTGTGGTTCATATTTGTCTCCATTATTGAGCTGAGTCATCAGAGGCCTCCACTCTTCCTCCATCTTCACTGGAACCTGCAGAGGAAACAAAGACTCACCTGGTCGGCTCCAAAAGGTACAGACACTCAGTACAGACATCATGCTGCTTCAATCACAGACAGACAGACAGTGAGACATAATGCTGCTTCATTCAGAGACAGGCAGAGAGTGAGACATAATGCTGGTTCAACCACAGACTGTCTGTGTCTCACCGTATTCAGACAGACAGGCAGAGAGAGAGACAGACAAGACAGTTCTTTGGTTGTTTATTTGCTCTGAACTTTAGTTAATCAGTAATCTGATCTGGAGAAGTTGTAGGTTGCTCAGAATAAGATCTGGTTCTGGTTCTGGTTCTGTCTTAATGTGACTTCAGAGTATCATTAATGCCAACAACCCGTCCAGTAGAGCTGCCCCCAGCTGAAGATCACTATATTGATTATAATCTGTTTCTGATATCACTGTATTGAAACACTAACAGAAACAGCAGTAATGAGTCTGAATGTGTCAGACTGAACCTTTAGTTGATTTATTCCAACACAGTGTAACATCACAGAGTCTGGTTGTTCAATAACTTCCAACTTCACTGAAACTAATCCTGGCGGATCGATACGATGGATGATGGATAACGTTAACAGTTACTGACTAATTAACTGCCTACAAACTGGCTCCTCTTCCTCTGTTTCACTCCGGTTCTGTGGCTCATTCGGGACCTGCTCCCCGTCAGTATTCTCCACTGGGTCCCTCTGCTGCTACACTAGCAGTGTTTAAACTCCCCCTGTCCTTCCAGCTCCCAGTCCGGGTACAGACAGCCAATAGCACCGCTAACTAGCTAATAGCGGTAGGAGACTTCCTGTGTTACAAGAGAAAAGGTCTGTGTTGCAACAATCCTCTGATACTTTGGTCCCGGGGACGAGGAGCAGCTCCTGAACGCAGTTTAAAGTTGGTTTGGTTTTCTCTGAGACTGTCAGACTGATGGAAAGTGTCACTGAGACTCTGAACAGACGGTTCAGTCGACTATCAGGAGGCAGCACTACCGTCCAGTGTGGCTCATCGGATTCATATGGTCCCTGTGGTTATAGCACAAGAGGTGGTCACATCATTCTCCAACAATTAATGTAGGTAAAATTACTGTCACATACAGTCAATAGCACTCTGAAAGCCCAAAGACATCACATCTACTGTTAACAATGAAACACTTTTCAGAAAGCAGACAAATTAATATAACCACATAAGAACAAACGTTATACTGATTGTTAAGGTTAAGGTTCTGCATTGTTACCTGTTATCACTTTATTCTTGTCTTCCAGCACTATTACATTTTAGGTTTATGTTTGTACTGTATTGTTGAAGACTAGAGGCACATTCAAGTATTTTTAACGGAGATCCTTAATAACCAATGAACACGCGATCATTCATCACTTCAGATGTTTTTATGGCTCATGACGTACTTCATGTGGTAACGCATTATATCGAACCCAGACACGATGAATCTGTTCCTCGTGGATCATATTTTATTGTTTCACCCACCAATGAAAAACCATGTCATCCAGTCCCTCCAGGAAGCTGTTGCGTCGTCATCATCATCATCATCATCATCATCATTACTTTCTGTAGTAACTGGTAGTGTAAACCTTACCTTTGCTGTCAGCACAGGATTTTTGAAGCTTTTAAAATGACAATATGGTGGAACTACAATAACATATTTCCTTTTATATCATATAAAGAAGCTGGAAAAACAATAATTTTAGATTAAAAAGGCAAACATGTTTAACAACTAGTCCTGTTTTGTTTTTTACTTCTCACAATAAAAATATATTCTGACAATATATATGATTTATAAAACAGTATACGGCTGGCCGTTTTTTTTTAGAAACATTTGAATTTCACAGAAATTTGAACAAAATTTAATTATTTCTCCACTTTCAGTCATATCGCTCAGCACTAAACAAAAAACCCCAAAAACTAGAAAGAAATACAAAAGATCAAATTATTATCATTTCTTTATTTAAATCACATTTACATGCGGAAGAACAGAATGTCTTTTAATATATCTACTCTTAAGTAACATCCAAAACTGCAGGTTGTGTTCATGAAGAGGAAAAGACAGAAACAACAGATCAGTTTATATTGAATTGTTTCAGGACAGACAATATTTGCTGCTCCTACACGATAAGCTGAAACTACAAACTGAATACTTTATCAATGGACTTGTACATTGCACTGTCTAGCTATCATCAGAAATAAAAGAGAACATAAAAACAGAAGAAGTGATTTAGCTCTTAGCTTTTCTCTGAGGCCATCTCCCACTTCTCCAGAAAGTCCTGCAGGTTCAGATTGAAAACGTCGATGCCTTTGGGGGACAGATGGACGCCGTCGGCCCGATACAGACCCGTGTTTGTGCCACACCTGATGTTGTCGTGGGTCAGCGAGGTGCCGCCCAGCTCTGAGATGATGTTCTGGATCCTGCGATTCACCGTGGTTCGGACCAGATCGACTTCGTGGCTGTCAGCCGAGTGGCGCCACGCCCTCCGCGGGAGGATGTTGGACCACACAAGGACACACTGCGGAAAGATGCTCCTCATGGAGGTCAGGTCCTTTTTGACGGAGGCCAGCAGGTCAGTGGGGCTGTCGGTGCTCAGGTCGTTGCCACCCAGGTGCATGATGAGGACGTCCGGGTTGGGCCAGGTGACCTTCAGCTGGTGGAGCTGGGGCAGGAGCTGTGACCAGGTCATGCCTTGGGTGCCTTTCCACCAGATGGCCACCTTGCTGGGGTCCATGCCCAGCTGCATACCTACCTCTGGAGACTTGGCCCGTGACTCCGCCCAGTACACCAGTGAATGACCACAAATCCAAACGTTCTTGGGCTCGCTGCTTGTCGGCTTGCCTACAGATTGTAACAGAATACATTTTTAAGTCGCAGAGCCTGGAGAATCTTTTTCACTTCCTAAACTACCGTTAGCATTGGACTAAAGCTCGGACTGTACACGAGTCCTCAGGCTGGTTTCACAAACATCTATCGGACTGGTCTGTGGTCCTCAGACAGTATTGATTAAGACCAGTCAAATGCCAATATCAATGTTAACTACGAGCACATCTGTGGGTACAATCAGACTGTTGGACTAAAGCCTTTTGATCTTTGTGAAACTGCCCACAGGTTTTTACAGGCTACAAGCACCAACATTTACCCAGAATTCTGTGCAAACTCACCCCTTCAACCTGTTTCTATCATATTACTTCTTGCTCCCATTTTGCTGAGTTCTGTCCTGTATTAACGGTTCTATCTCATTATATAAATCATTTGATTGATAAGTTATAATTACTGCATCAGGAAAGTTCATTCACAGTTTTGGTTTTAGTGAAAACACAAAAACGTGCTAATATAAAACCTCCTGATCACAGAAACATGTTTGTGAACTGTACCTTTGGGAGTTTCTAAGAATTTTAGTGTTGGATGTAAAATTTCAATCAATCAATTAAGAGATCAAAATGGTCACCTACCTTCACGACAACTTTTTTACACGTCAAGACAACAAATATTGGCCTTCTACAACGTAGAACTTTAAAACTAAACTGCTTTAATGATAAAAAACGTAATGGTAAAGCTATGGATTACCTTTAGCTGTGTATTTATATTGTCTCCCTAGCTAACTGCTGACTCTATATACCCAGTTAGTCAATGCTGGCTGTGTATGGAAACATAACATGCAACAAAGCACTAAAAAACGTTTGAATCTTGAAATTAAAATTTCACTTCTAACTTACACTTGATTGATTTAATGAAATTATAATCAATAAATCAATTATTTCCACAACTTTTCCTCTACTCTTCATTTCTAACGGTCTGATTTCAGTCCAGTATTTCATTTAGAGAAAGGAAATGGAATTCATTTGATGACTCATCCTGCACTTGGGGGTGCATACTAATGTTGCGTCCAATCAAACGCTTTCTCTCTTCTTAAGCCGAGTGTTTCTGAGGGCCGTTACAGATATCTATGGCCTCACTGAGTACTGTACAAAGGCCTACTTGCTATTGGCTGCTGTATCAATATCCACTACAAGTCCCTCCCTACTGCCTGTTAGATTACATTTATACACTTTGAAATAAGATGAAAACATTCAATATGTTGCTGCCATTAAATTGGAAGTAGGTTACAAGGACATTACTGTAAACCAACACTTTGACTGGTTCAGCTGGTTTAGAAACAATAATGTGGGTATGAACTTTCACTTTGTATCCAACCACTGATTTGAGGAGGCTGGTGGGTGGACTGATGGATGTTTGAAAGGTTGATCATTTGGGACATTATTAATGTTTTCCATTTCTGATCTCTGACTCCATACTGGACCTCATCATCTCTACTGGTAGTCTAGTCTGGTTGTCCGTCCTGTGATGGTCACAGGGCCGCAGCATGTGAACAGAAGTTACCTGAGCAGCATGTTTAAAGGCAAAGATGAGACTGGCTGTGTGATCACAGTGGGTTTAAATGCGCGTAAGTGATACTGTCGTTTGCGTGATGGATCCGCAAAAGTTACGCATTCAAACATCATTTGAGACGTGACGGTCAGTGCTGTAACCAGTGTGCTGATTCAAAGACTGAACAAAAGCACAAAACAAATGGCAAAACCTTCAAAACCTGTTAGCATCATGTGCTGTATTCTGTTACATCTCAACATTTTATGGATGTTAGCAATGAGCTAGCAAAGGTCCTCACATCTACCAGCAGTGTTTTCGTGTCTTAATCCTCGACAAACTCATCTCAATATAAGTGACTCGAGTTTAAGAACCAAACTGATGACGGACTACTCGTAAGTTGTGTCAGCTAAAGCTAACAATATCATTGAGTTCTTAAGGATGCTAATAGCGCTCTACATTACCCTCTTGAGCTAACATAGATAGTTTCACAGACTGAAAGGAAAGGTATATAGCACATAAACTTTTGATTATTCAATTTTAACAATAAAAATAATTATTTATTAAGTTAATGAGTTTAAGATACTGATGTGATAGTCTTTCTTAGTAGGCTAAGCTGGTTAAAAAGTACACAAATTTAGCTCAGACAAGATGCTATGTAACATTACTGAAACCATATTCTTAAGAATAATCATGGACTATAATGTCATGGAGTAATCACCATGACATTATATACATGGCCCCTATAGTAAAAGCTCTCTATGTTAGCTTCCTGAGCTAACGTTAGCTTCAAACTGAAAGGATGGGCTAGTTTGCGGCACAGAAAACAAAAAGGTCCCAATTAAGAGTTACTATGTTTAGGTAATTTAGGTTCATATGTAAATGATATACTTGGGCATAAATTTAGCTTTGACAGAATGATACTTAGCATTACTCAACATATTCTAAAAAATGACCAAGACATTCAGAATAAGCATTATACTGATTGCACTTACTGTGTTAATGACAGTCACGTCTGACACTGTTAAAGTTAATGACATCTGACTGACGACCCCGATATGATGGTGAAAACTCTTGCTGTTAGCTTTTTAAGCTAACAGTTTCACAGATTGGAAGGAAAAGCTACTTCACCAGCTAGAGCTGATAAAAATCTGCCAGGTGTTTGGAAATGACCTCAGTGATGTGCAAATGTCTTCAGTCATGCCATCCTTACCTCCGTGACTCAGTCATGACCTTGGTCACTCAACATTAATCTGATGACTCTAACCTGGACATGCATGAATCAATTCGGTGATGGACTTCAAACAATAAAGGGATGAGGCTCAATCTGGACCCGAGGTTTGGTTACTGGACTACAACGCTGCTTACAAATGTCATATACAATGAAGTAAACGTATATTCTTACCTATAAAATGAATAAATGTAGGGAAGTAAATGAGCTACCAATTTAAGATACAAAAGATAGTGTGTAGTAGCTTTACACCCGTACAGCTCACATACGAGGCTCTGCATAAGAAATATGACATTTAGTTTCTCTTATATTAGCACATTTTCAAAAACTAATTTCTGACCATTGGTGGCAGACCCAACATGAAATGGGTGTCTTAGCAGTATTAGCACTATTATTCAAACTGTATTACCTGTCTGACAAACTCATCTAAATAAACTTAAACTTAACTTAATACATTTCACTGTGTAAAAATACTAACTTCTTTCAATGTAAATGAATTAGGAAGACTTTTCTTTGCATGGTCACAATTACAAGTAGTCTTTTGGATCTTCTGTTAAAACATCACTTCTCTGGATATCAGGAAATGCGGCTATACTACAGTTTAATGCAAACAGAACTTAGCAAACTTGACTTACCCTGAACAGGACCTGGCTCAAGGACTTACCAAGGGTAAAAAATGCATTACTTATATATCAGGTGTGTAACACATAATCCTGTACATAGTAAAACAAATTAGACATCTGGAGAATTTGAAGCAATAAACAACACACATTAACTTGTAATAAAATCAGAAGCCACTCTGTTATAACAGCTTCTTTGATGCGAGGACAAGTAAGGCCTTAATACTATAATAGAAACGCTCAGTAAAACACTCAAAAGGCTTTCATGAACATGGCTTGTAATTCTGTTTAGTAAATGGATCACAAATAACATCTTTAAAAAAGCTTAAGAAGAAAGCTGAAATGATGTAAGATAAAACCAAATGTACCCTCTGAATTTTCTTTACATTACATTAGTCTTGCCCTTACATTCCCTCTGAGACAACCCTAGAAGTTTACATCTAGGCAATTCCTACTAGACTGTCCTAGACTATTCAAGCCATGTCTGTAAAAGCCACCTTAACCTAAAAGGCCTACCGTGTCCTGTACTACACGTGCTCCTCATATACAGTCACACAGACATGAGGAGCCACTAACCAACCAAAGTAGGAATGAGTAGTACTACCAAAAGCACTACAAACTTAGTGCTACCTCTTAGTGCTACATACTTAGTCTGTACTACTGTCTGTAGTACTAAACGGTAGCACTGCGTCGTTGGTGGGGTTTGTCCATTATCTTTGTCCTGAAGCTGAGTTCTCAATTTATCTAAAGAGCATTGTGTAGCTGGTTTCGATTCCTCTGTCTTTACAGACTTGCTGTCAACAAACACCAGATCACATCCTTAGCAATGGTAGTTTAAGCTAGCTGTACTGTGTTTACACTCAGTGGTCACTGTTACAACTTCGTATTGTCATGTGCTGTGCTGAGATTTCTTTTGGCAGGACGTAATGTTTGAGAGTGTCCACTGAGATTCATGTATAAGAAATGTTCTGGTAGACTAGATGAAATTAAAACTACTGGATACAGAGATATTTTCCAACTTTTTAGTCAGTTATGACACACCACTCTGGCTTCCTATTTTTGTTGTCTTCAGCTGCTAAAGGCAGTGGTCTTCAAGGTTCAGTGAGTATAGCTCTGAGATTGCCTTCTTTATACTGCTGATGTTCTGAGACTGAGTATGTCTTATCATTCATCTATAGCCCTTCTCATGAAGCAGAATGAGAGGTTCTTGCATCCAAAAATAGTCTTGACTGTGTTGTTAGAACAGTCCTGATGTGGTACCAGCTACTCCACTGCAGATTCCATTAGAGCACAAGTATGAGACTCAGTTTGGAGAAGAAGTGGGAAGGTGTATCTGCTGAGTGACCACTGAGTGTAACAGTATCTAAGCTGGAAGCAGTATACCCAAACCTAGCAAAACTACCTTGCTTGAAAAGCATCACTGGAGATAAATGTGTAGCTAACTGCTAGGGCAGTGTATCATACCTAAATCATCATTGGGTACTGACCAAAATGTATCTGTAGTATCAACTACTGAAAAACGGTCAAGTATCCAAGTTGGTATCAAATGGTTGGTCAATTTCATTTTCTCTACTTATACTTTAATTAAGTAGTATTGAAGTATATTCAGTGTAATATAAAAAATATATTGTTGGTATCAGTGCTTAAACTGTATTATTGTATCAGCATTGGAATGTTTAAATTTCAAACAATACCTACACTAAATAATCTCATCTTACAAATGGGTTCCTTTAAACTAGATACCAATAGAGTCACCATATGAAGAGGAAAAAGATGTTACTTTGAGAAGTTGAGATTGCAGTTGGCTCCTTGTCTTGATCGCTGGGACGAACCGCTTGGCTCGGCTAACGTGTGGCAGAGGAGCGATTGATCTTTGTAGGGCCGCAATGCACTTAAGATGTCTTGGTAACCTTATGGCTCCGTTTCAAGGCGTAGCGGTTTCTATGTGCTCAGCTAGTACGTCAGAAGCTCCACTGTAGCTGACTGCAACTCCTTCATAATGCAACCGCATGTTGGTGCTACTGGGAGAGCACAAGAGCTGCTAGACAAAATGTATTCTAGCAAAGCCATTTTCTGGGCAAACCTTGCTGTGATATCTGTTCTCTATTACAAAGTGAAAAAGATATATCGGAGTAGCATTGAGGTTGAGCTATAACAACGGAGTGAAATCCTAAATCACTTCCTACCTTATGGGAATCTACAGTCAGACCATCTCGACGGAGAAGCATACATCTAGCGTAGCATTTGTCTTTACGTCAGGGCCTAACGGCGCTATTTAAGCCTTAATAATCATACTTCAGCTAGACCCACAAAACTTAACAATACTTTTATCATAGTAACGGTTCTACCACATTTTCAGAGATGTGGATAATAATGTTTCCTTGCGTTTCTCACCAAAGCCTAGCTAACTTTCTGGGAGAAATAATTTTAACCTGCTTAAAGAACCCATCTAGTCAAAAAAAAAAAAGAAAACAGGGTGTTAAATCTTTTTTATCCTTAAAGTAATATGGCATGCATCTCTAAAATGTTAACTTGAAAATGTATTTATGTGTTTGAAGACCTAGCATGCAGAGAACAACCTTAATGAATGCTTAACTCACAAATGCCACTAATTCAATGGTTACTAGTTAGGTTTAATGTAATTTAACACGATCTGATACCTGGGGGGATCAGTGTGCCATCCCTGTTCTTCTCTGCTTTCTTGCGGGCTAGCATCTCCTTGTACTGCTGCTCCCTCTTTTCCAAAACCCTCTGGTTATACAAATCCAGCTGCAACATAAAGAATACAAAACACCATTAAAGCTTTATCCTATGCAGCTGCAATGTGGTAGCCTTTCATCATTTCTAAGGTTTCTACTTTATTAAATTCTTTAGTGTCTGTCTAGATTACCTGGGCATACATGCATGACTATTTAGATTACTGACAGCAGATACAAATCCTCAACTCATAGGAACTGTACTTCAGTAAGAATAGTAGTACCACTGCTGATCATACCTTCTCTTTCTGCTTGCTCTTTATGTCATCATCTGTCTCTGCAGAGGTCTGAGGACTTGAGGCTGATGGAGACTCTGTAGGTAAACTAAACTGGACTGTTTTGACCAGTTTGGCTTGTGGCTGTACAGCTAGAGATTTCACGGTCTCAATGACCTTCAGGCATCTGGCCACTGTCGTAGAGATGGTTGTCTGGTCATCATTTGTAGGACTCGATGTTGCTGGTGTTGATGATGGTGGTGTCACTTCAGCAGTGGTCAAAGGATTGAATGAGTTAAGGGGTGGAGCTGCAGGAAGCTGGCCAATAAAAGGAAGGCCTGCATGACTGGAGGGTGGAGAGAAAAGAGGCTGTCCAAGAGGGTGATGGGATGGAGGTCCAGGTAGAGGCCCTGGAGGATGTTGTCCGGATGGGCGCCGAGGTGGAGGACCAGGAGGAGGCCCTGGAGGAGGCAGTCCATGACGCCGTGGAGGAGGTCCAGGGGGAGGACCAGGGGGAGTTCCTGCAGTAGGTCCAATTTTCTGGGGTGGTAGACCAGCTGCAGGAGGAGCTGGGGTGGCCATGCTGAGGGTTGTGGAGCTCTGGGCTTGGGGAATCTGAGTAGTCATTCCAACAGGCCAACTGATTGGTGGGCTTGGCTGTTGGTGGTGAGCAGGTGGAGGCCCAGGAGGAGGTTGTGCAGGAGGAGTGGTGGAGGGTATGCTCCCCATTGTCTTGGTAAGACTTTGCAGCTGTTGTGCCTTCTTCAATGCCTCCAACTCTTGCTGGTCCAGGAATCCGTCATACTCAGAGACAGCTTTATGTCTGCTAAGTGGCTCCAAACTGGAGGACCTGACAGGGGAGGAGGAATGGATGTGATCTGATTCAATTGAACTAGTTCTACTTGTTTGCCGTTCTTCCCTTGGGGATGACAAAGTCTCTCTTTCTGTGGATGAGGACTTTGGGCTATAGATTTTCTCTTGGGCTCTGCTTGCCAGTTTGGACACATCTCCTGTACTCAGTTTCAGGCCAATCGTACGGAGTAGACTCTGGATCTTGTCATAGGGTTCTGTCTTAATCTTTAGTTCCTCACTTGTTCTCTCTACCGAGGGCCGTTTAGGGCTTAGTTGGTTTTTTCCCCCTTCTAGTGCTAGACTAGTGCTTGGCTGCTCTTGAGCCAATCCCACAATCCTAGAGAAACCTCTGCCATCCTGAAGTGCCCGCTCATGAGGCAGAAGGTCATCATTCACGTAAACCTGTTCTGATTTTTTTTCAGCATCCACCTTTTTGTTAAGCATGTCAAGGAAGCGATCAAGGGGTGGTTTCTCAGCTGGAGGTGATTGGCACGGTGTTGTGTTCTTCTGTTTGGGAGAGGGACTTCTAGGAGGCGGTTCTGTGGGAGAAGGAGGTCGGAAAGGGGGTTGGGAAGATGAAGTGGCAACAGTATGTGTTAAGGGAGGTTGGGTGGAGGCAGAAGGAACTTGGCTGGACTGAGAAGGTGGTGAGGAACCATGGGGTTCTGGAGACTGGCTCCGTTTGACAGGCCGATACGGATCATCGTATGGTCGGTCTGCATATGCCGGGTCATAGTAGCGGTCGTCATAGGGTTCATCATAAACATCGTAGCGATCAGTATAACGTTGGCTGGCAGACGTAGGGCCACTATAGGTAACGTCACCATAGAGACGATTTTCATAAGGGCGGTCACCGTAGGGGCGGTCTCCATAAGGCCGATCGCTGTAAGGACGCCTGCTGGGGTATGGATCACCGTAGTGGTCACTGTACCGCCGTTCTTGGTAAGGACTGTATGGCCGGTCATAATAAGGATCATCATATGGGGGATGACCCTCTGGTCGTTTCTTTAAGATAGATCGAACTGGTTTGTACTCAGTCAGTGGAACAGCGATCCTGCCATGGTCGTAGTCTATACAGGTCCTCTGTCCAGGCTCTATGTCCACCAGCGACTTTTTGTAGGCAATCATCTCATTGAGCTCCTCCAGTTCCCGCTTCTTTCTCGCCAGCTCATCATCCATAACTCCGACACGTCTGGGAGGAGGGCTCAACTCCCTCCTCTTCTTGTGACTTTCTTCACGCTCTCTGCTAATTTTGCTCCTCTTCTTGATGGCCCTGTCCTTGCTTCTTTCTCTGCTCCTGCTGTGGCTCCTGCTGGAGCTCCTGCTTCGGCTGTGACTCCTGCTGCGGCTCTTAGCGGGGCTACCGGTGCACCTCTTTGACCTCTCTCGGCTTCGGCTTCGCCTGTTCCTGCTGCTTTTACGATCGCAGTCAACACTGGTGCTGCATCTGCTTTTAATGATACGTCCAAACTGGTCTCTGGGTGGACTCCTACTTTTACTCCTACTCTTGGCCCTAACCCTACTATGACTCCTACTTTGACTCCTGCTCCGACTCCTGCTCCGACTTCTGCTCCTGCTACGTCCATATCTACTCCGACTGGTATTGTAGTCCCTTCTGCCGATACTGGTCTTGTTGTCCTGCGATCTAAGGTTTTTCACCACCGCTTTCAGCTTTTCTGTCTCTGGTTTTGCTTTCCTGAAATGTCAGAAGTAAGTAAAACAAGTCAGAGAGGTTTTTCTTCTTAAAATAATTTCACAAAATGTGTATTCCCATACATTCTGTATAGATGCCAACGTGAAATAGGTCATTTACTCAAAGCCAAAAGGTGACATATGACCTAGTGGTTTATATGTAGAAATAGGTAAACATTTGTTTGTTCCAACATTACATAGATACTAAAATTTATAACTCACTCTGTGTCTTCTGAAGCTTTTGTCAGCTTGATGGTCATCTACCAAAGAGATTAATACATTAGATATTAGATATATGTACTGAACTTCTGGTGCTGGCGTGAGCAGGACGCTTATCCAGTAGCTCCATCCGTGGCTCAGTGGTGGGCACAGAGCTGCACTCTCTGGTGACAGTGGCAGAGAGAAGGACCCTGGACAAACTGACTCACCACCCACTGCACAACACCTTCACAAGGCAGAGGAGTGTGTGCAGTGGCAGACTGCTGTCCCAGTCCAGCTCCACCAATAGACTATATATATATTTATATATATATAAAAATAATGATCTCTGCAAACATCTTGAAACAACTGTAACTGGTAAATAAATGTAGGTTATGGTAACACTATAGAAGCAATGTACAGCTTTGCATTGAACCCACAAATCATCCTGTAATATATATTATCCTTTACTGAAATGAGATGGAAGTTGTGTTAATGTAGTACAAATATTTAATACAAAAATGTTTGTTGGATCCAGATGGATTTGAAAAATTAACAAAAGCAGCAAACTCTTAATTCTTCCCACAACGTACCTACGGATTTAACGAGTCAACTCACAGTTTGACTGGTTATGACTGAAAAAGATTCCTTTACTTCTCTAAAATATGTATAATATTGTCTTTTATAGAATCCTGTTATTTCTAAGTTTCGGTATAAACTGTGCAAAACATTGCAGATTTCCTTTCCTTTCTTTGTGCCTTGATATCACGATTCATTTCTCATTTTACCAACATGAATCTTCACATATTTGTACCTTGATTTAACCAACTCGGGCTTACATTCCTAACATAACTGTATAAATATAATATATAAGTCTTTACCTTTCCTTTGTTTGCACCGACTCCGCCCAGTTTCCGAGCAGGGAGGAAAACGCTCTCGGTGTGACGTTTTATCCTGATGGCCTGATGTCCCCCCTCCGCCGTTTCATGCTTGGAGAAAAAACAATAAACGTGTTTTTATTTGAGATAAAATACATAAATACAAACACCTAAACAGACACAAACTCTACTGACTGCCTGAAGGCACAACTACTTCTGCTGTCTACAACAGTTTCAGGCCTGTTAAAGGACAATAAGAACAGTTACAAAGTGAACATACGTAGTTGTTGAACTACCAGACAGTCAAAAAGGAAATATTCATACCACATTATTAAGACTTCAAAAACTAATGTCAGGGAGTTAAACATTATATTTTCCCAAAAGCCTGAAACCTGGATACAATCACTTAACTTGCTTCCTTACTACTTTCAAGTTACAAGACACTTCTTACCAGACATTAAAATTCCAGCTGGTAAAATACAGCAGATTTTATGCAAAACTGTAAATGCTGTGATGAAAATTAAAGTCCCGAGATTAGTGGTTGATGTGGATCTGACTGACTGGTCCCGGGTAGTTCTGGTTATGAATATCTGAACAGTCCAGCTTCTTGTCCTGACATAATCGGACTCTCTTTTTAATCCTAAAGCTCCTGTAAAAGCCCCTCAGCCATCAGAACTTTGACTGAAAGCCGAAGAGGATAAAAAGGATTAAAAGGGGGACTCACCGGGACGACGCTAAACTCCACCTTCTCGTTCAGCTCCAGTTTCTTCTTCTCTATCACCTCGGACATGTGGAAGTAGAGTTGAGGGTTCTGAGAGCACTTGATGAGCCCCGAGTCGTCCAAGAACTCGATCACGATTCCCTGGTTAGAAAATCAGTCACACAAACAGTTAGACCGGTTTGGTTGGTTTCACAGATCCTGTGGAACCAGCTTCCAGTTGTGGTTCAGGAGGCAGACACCCTCACCACATTCAAGAGTAGGCTTAAGACATTCCTCTTTGATAAAGCTTATAGTTAGGGCTGGATCAGGTGAGTCCTGAACCATCCCTTAGTTATGCTGCTGTAGGCCTAGACTATCGGGGGATTTCCCATGGTGCACTGAGCTCCTCTCTTGTGCTTTCTCGTCTCGCAGGTTCTCATGGATCATGGTGGAGCCTCCTGCCATGGTCCTGCTTGACTGCCATTGCTAATATCACTGATGTTACTGTTATTATTATTAATATTATTATTACTAAAGTTACTATTATTATTATTGTCACTGCTCATTGTCCCCCATCATTGTTGTTGTCATGTTCATCATCATCAGTCACTACTATTAGTGTAGTTGTTGCTACTGTTGTTGCTGTGCACCTGTCTGTCTGTTTGTCTGTCTGTCTCTCTCTCTTTCACCCCAACTGGTCGAGACAGACGACCACCCACCTAGAGCAGAAGGATCTGTCCTAGGTTTCTGCCTTTTAACAGGCAGTGTTTCCTTGCCCCCGTCGCCAAGGTCTTGCTCATGGTGGTACTGTTGGGTCTCTGTAAATGTTAAAAGGAGTTCGGTCTACACCTGCTCTATTTGAAAAGTGTCCTGAGATAACTTCTGTTATGAATTGGTGCTATACAAATAAAATTGAATTGAATAGATTCAGATTCAGTCTCTGCAGCTGCTCTGACTCAAACTAACAGCACGAGGAGATGAAAGCGTTCTAAAGTCTTACGTGTCGACGTTGTTCGGTGGACTCTTCAAAGGAGTCGGGGAGAATTTCCACGTAGGTCGCTCGCTCCTCTTTGGTCTCCTGATGGGTGGCGATGTTGAAACGTACCTTCACAGATCAGATACAGTTCAGGATGAGAAATCCAACATCCAGAATAAAGAAACTGGTTGTTTCAGCACAGTTACGGAGCTGAAAGCCGCAGGTCAAACACAATCAATCTAACAGCACATACTCAGGTTACCCACAGTAAGTGGCTCTTGGTGAGTTAACCACAGGGAGAGGAAGTATTCAGGTCCATCAAGTAAAAGTACTAATATCAGCCCCATTTCTCCTGAATAGTACTGTATTCCTAGCTATGAATTGTGGGATACTGAGTGTGACAGTGCATCTCCTGTGAGTCTCTTTAGCTTCGCCACTCTGACGTGTAGATGTACAGTATTTCATTACTGTGGTTACTGCGACAGCCATACCTAAAGGTCTTACAGCAAAATATACTTTATTATTTTATGACTCGTTCTTTGCACATGCACTATGAATATATATAACAATAACAGTATTTAAAAGAAATGTGCAGGAGAGGTTTGAAGCCAAAAATGGCTTATGAAGATTCCTCCTATATAAATATAATCAGTACAGTGCAGTAAAATGTTCCTGTCAGTGTTATATCTGATGCTTTTAGATTATTATTGATGCTGTATTCAGGTTGAGCTCATTTTTAATATACTATAAATACTGTTGGGGACTTTTGGCTATGTCCAATAAATCTGTATTTATCAAAGTGACTTCGCCCTAAAAATTACTTTATGCTGTTGGACTCGCTCTCTGTGGAGCTCACGTTGTGTAGCCTGTGTTAGCTGTTAGCGAGAGCTGACAGATGTCTGTGGAAGGTCTGACGACATAAAATAAATGTCAAACGATGAGTGTCATATATATTTAACAGTAATAATATACACAGTTAATCCCAGCTGGTTGCTTTAAACCCTGTCTGTAAGGCCTCCAGCATTCTCTCACCTTGTCTCCATCCAACATGGTGGCCGTGGTCAGCAGGTCGTTGGGGCCGAAGGGAAGCTGCTTCTGTTGACCGTCGATGGTCATCACTAGTCGACCCATCTCTGGGTCCTGTTTGGCTCCGCCTCCTGCTGCGGCTCTGCCCCCAGACTCATTCTTCTTCTTCTTCACCTCCTCCTCATCCTCCTTTTTAATCTCTAATCTCTTACCCTCCTCTTCTCCTGCTCCTTCAGGTTTGCCTTCCTCCTCCTCCTCGTCCATTTTCTCCACTTTAATTTTCACCTGCAAGAAAAACATTTAATTTATGGATAATCTTCTTTCTTTCCACACTCCAGAACTTTAAAGACTTTTGTAGTAATATTTTTGTACCAGTCTGAGGAGTGTTTGTCCTCCCTCAGCACCTCCTCCTCGTTGCTCCTCCTTCAGCTCCTTCTTGATCTTCTTTATGTTTTTGGAAATGGCTTTGAGGACGGTGCCTTCGAATCGCTCCTTGCTGATGTCGTCCAACGTGTCGGGGTCTCTCATCTTGAAGCCGAGCGGCGTCCACTGCAGCGACAGCGAGCGGTCAGAAACTGTTTAATGTGGTTCATGATGTTCTCTATAGTTAATGAGGAGTTAATGGAAACTACTGGAGGACATTTAGGAGATCAAACTGTCCACAAACTGCATACAATCTGAGCTAAACGTCCCTGTAGCTTCCAATCAATAGCCCTCAGTGTACTTTCACTGCTGTGGAGCAGTTGGGGGGGGGCAGTCACATAAATCAATATAGTGTCTTTGAGAATATCACACTATCAATATCAATGTTACATTTATATTTGACCCCTAACGGTCGTGTGTCCAGATGTTTGTCACAAACATTCAGTTGAATCAAACTTTAGCTCATAACTCTGTTCAACTCTTTCAGTGGGGACCACTGAGAAAACTGTACAATAAACCCAAATATTGAACACAAGAACTGCAGGAAATTTGTGTAGCAGTTTGGATGAATTGTGATTATTTCCTGTAAACATCAGCCTTGTGATGCCCTGTGAAGCTATGGTGGCCCCTAGTGGGGTTGCCGACCCCCAGGTTGAGAACCACTGCACTATGTGAGCTGCAGAGACAACGATATTGGATATTTCTATATAGTTATTGTTAATGTCTGCCACCGGGTCAGATTCCCCTTGAAATCAATGAAACGAGGCGGTAGAAACACTGCGGCTCCTGTCCACAGGGGGTGCTCTGTATGAAACCTTCAGTCAGTAGAACAACATTAAACTGCTGCTGTATTACAGAGAAAGGTTGTGATCCAACATATGAAGTCTCATTAGTTGTCATCACCTTGCATTTGGCCGCTGACAGCGCTGCTGCCACTTCATCCTTCTTCCTCCTCTCCACCTCTCTCCTTCGCTCCTCCTCCTCCTCCTCCTCCTCCTGCCTCTTCTTCCTCTCCTCCTCCTGTTTCCTCCTCTTGTCCTCCTCCTCTCGTTTTTTCTGCTCCTTCAGGATTTTGTCTTCGACCCTCTTCGTCCTCAGTAGCCTGATGGCTCTCTTTTTAGATTTCACCTGTGGAGCGCACACACACACACACACACACACACACACACATTCGTGTGAGGAACAGCGGGAGTCCCAGAGCAGGAACCAAATGTTGGAATAGAACTTCTAAAGGGGGGCAAAGAGGACTCAGTAGGGGCATTAGTACAGGGACAGGGGCAGTAATACCGGGACAGGGGGCATTAGTACGGGGACGGGGGCATTAGTACGGGGACGAGGGCATTAGTACGGGGACGGGGGGCATTAGTACGGGGACGAGGGCATTAGTACGGGGACGGGGGCATTAGTACGGGGACGGGGGGCATTAGTACGGGGACGAGGGCATTAGTACGGGGACGGGGGCATTAGTACGGGGACTACATTACTACAGTACTGCTTTATTACATTACTACAGTACTACTGTACTACTGTACTACATCACTACATCACTACAGTACTACAGTACTACATTACTACAGTACTACATCACTACATTACTACAGTACTACAGAACTACATTACTACAGTACTACAGAACTACAGTATTACATCACTACAGTACTACATAACTACAGTACTACAGTACTACAGAACTACATTACTACAGTACTACATTACTACATCACTACATCACTACATTACTACAGTACTACAGAACTACATTACTACAGTACTACAGAACTACAGTATTACATCACTACAGTACTACAGAACCACAGTACTACATTACTACATCACTACAGTACTACAGTACTGCATTACTACAGAACTACAATACTACTGTAGTAATGTAATTCTGTAGTAATGTAGTTTTGTGGCTGCCGGCACTGTGTGTGTGGGCATTAGTACGGGGACGGGGGCATTAGTACAGGGACAGAGGCATTAGTGTCCTTAATAACATATGATCATTAGTGTTTCTGCTGTCCACTAATGAGATTAACGATAACTAATAAATAAGATAAAACTCCACTTCCTGCCGTCTGTCCTCCGTCAGACTCACCATGGCCACCGTGAACTCCACCTCCTGGTGGATGTCGGTGGTGTTGAACTCGGTGTCGCTGAAGTTCTCACAGATGTCGAAAGGAAGCTCGCCGTGCTCGTCAGAGTTAACGATGCCTTCTTCAGCTCCCAGACAGGTGATGATGGCCTGAGAGACAGAACCTCGTTATCTAATCTAGTCCTACATTACTACATCACTACAGTACTACTGTACTACATTACTACATCACTACATCACTACAGTACTACTGTACTACATTACTACATCATTACAGTACTACAGCACTACATTACTACATTACTACATCACTACAGTACTACAGCACTACATTACTACATCACTACATTATTACTACAGTACTACATTACTACAGAATTACATTACTACAGAATTACATTACTACAGTAGTAATGTTGTTCTGTGGCTGCTGGCACTGTGTGTGACTGTGGACTGGATAATAAAGTTAAATTCTACAGCTCTTCTTCGTAACTCTGACTGCAGCAGGAGATGAAGGTGGAGGATGATGAGTGTGTTACCAGCTCTCTCTTCTCTTTGGTGTAGCTGAAGGTGAAGGGGATTTTAGGTTTGATATTGGCCGCTCTCCTCTTCTTGCTCTGCGTGTCCACCAGCAGGTTGATCAATACGTGGTCGTTCTTCAGCAGCGTGACGCCGCAGTCCCGATGGTCGAAGGTCACGTTGGTTCTGACGGGGCCGATGTTGGCGTGGATCTGACCCGGGTAACCCTGCATGATGGGCTACAAAGGGGCCACAGTCAGGGATAGATTGATCAGGGACAGAGATTGATCAGGGACAGATTGATCAGGGACAGATTGATCAGGGACAGAGATTGATCAGGGACAGAGATTGATCAGAGCCAGATTGATCAGGGACAGAGACTGATTAGAGACAGATTGATCAGAGATTGATGTCGACTCGCGCTCACTGTGGGCTCGATGATTGGCTGACTGACGATGCCCTCGTACAGCTCGCTGTCCAGCTCCATGTTGGCTGCCGCCTCCACGTTGGTCTTCCCTCTGAGTAGCTTGGAACAGTCTTCGTCACTGTCCAAGTAAGCGCTTTGGTTCTCGGCCTCTTCCTCGATGGCGGCGGCGGCGGCGGTGGCGGAGCAGAGCGTCAGGAGGAGGGGTTCCTTTACCCGCTGGATCCTGATCGCTCGCTTCTCCAATCTCAGCTGAGGACGGACAGAAGAGGTTTATGTTTGAGATAAACTGCTCCAGTCAGCACAAGACTAGAAAGGGGAAAATAAGCCCCGCCCCTGAGTGGCAGCGGGCAGAGTCCTCACCTCGAGGACGGTGAACTCGACCTCCTCGTTGATGTCCTCGGCGGTGAACTCAACGTCGCTGAAGTTCTCTTTAATGTCGAAGGGAAGCTCACCGCGTTGGTCCGACCGGATGACTCCTTCGTTGTCTGTCAGGCTGATGATGACGCCCTGCGGCCAATCAAACACAGCGCTGATCATCATCGTTGCCATGGCGACAGAGCCTGTTTCTGATAGACTGAATTGCCTGTTTCTGATAGACTGAATTGTATGCGTCGGTGTGTGCGCACCCACTCACCTTCTCCCGGCACTCCTTGGTGTGGCTGAAGGTGGAGGGGATCTTGGGTTTGATGTTGGTGGCCCTCCTCTTCTCGCTGACGATGTCGGTCAGCAGGTTGATGAGCACCTGGTCGTTCTTCAGCAGCGTCACCGTGCTGTCCTTCCTGTCGAACGTCAGGTTGGTCCTCAGCTGCCCAATGTTCACGTGAACCTGACCAGGGTATTGGCGCTCGCCGGGCTGCGGAGCAACACAACCGCTGTGGTCAATGACAGGAAATTGGAAGTAGGAAACAGGACGAGGCGTCGATGGGTTAAAAAGAATAAACTGACCTGAGGCTCCGTGATGGGCTGACTGACCACCGCCTCGTAGATCTCTGTGTCCACGTTCTCGGTTCCACCTGGAGCCACTTTCACATCGGCCGCGATCAGACTATTTTTCTTCAAACACAAAAACAACAAATACGTTAAAAATAGTTTAAAAAAGAACCAGTTAGTGAACCTGAGTTCATGAAGAACATTAAAGCTTAAAGAGTCAGTGTGTTTGAGTCAGTGTGTGTGTCAGTGTGTTTGTGTGTGTGTGTGTGTGAGTCTGTGTGTGAGTGAGTCAGTGTGTTTGTGTGTGTGTGTGTGTGTGTGTGAGTCAGTGTGTGAGTGAGTCTGTGTGTGAGTGAGTCAGTGTGTTTGTGTGTGTGTGAGTCTGTGTGTGAGTGAGTCAGTGTGTTTGTGTGTGAGTGTGTCAGTGTGTGTGAGCCAGTGTGTGTGAGCCAGTGTGTGTGTGTGTGTGTGTGTGTGTGTGTGTGTGTGTGTGTGTGCGTGTGTGTATCATCTTATTTACAGATTCTAATATTTACTAAAACTTTTAAAAGCAAACAAAATTATGTTTCCAGAGGAACTTCTAACTTTATCACATATATCTGCAGGAAGTTGTCTGTTTAAGATTATTACATTGTTTGCATTTGTGTCTTTTAGGGTAACAAACGGTGAAGATCTCGCTCTCGCGCTCACCTTCTCCTTGCAGGCAGTAAAGTGAACTCTGACCCCGGGCGTCATGGATTTGGGGTTTCCAAAGTAGGCGTCAAAGCTGAAGGTGAACTTCTCCAGATCTTCTCTCTCGATGTATCCGAAGGACGGCTGAGGATCAGAGACACGTCGGATTATTAAATCTGGATTATTCACACAGCGGTTTGGCTCTGGAGTCCAGTCCACCTGGGGGGTCGGGTACCCGCCAGGTAATGGGCAAAAATATATTTATATTGATTCAAGGTACTTAAAGCCCTGAAAAGCTGACAGTGATTTATTAGTTTTTATATTTTGTAAGATGATGACAACATCAGTCACATGACAGCGTCTGTTGGCGTTCTTACCCCGATGAATGAGATGATTCCTGTCGACCTGCCTGGTGGAGGCCTGAGGACAGACAGACAGCAGGTCACACTCCCAAAACCACAGAAGAAGACATTGTCGGAGTCACACAGCCACAATAATCATCATCAATGATTAGATATTAACAATCAATCAGGAAGGACTTACTTATCAAATGTGCGTTTTCCCAGCAGGCCGAGAGCTCTGGCAGTTTTGAGGAGGTCCACTTTAGGTTTAAGTTTCGGGGCGGAGTTCGCCACAGGTGCTGTAGTGACGGCGGGCTCCTCGCTAGGTTTTTTTGTTTCGTCTGGAGTCGATTCAGTGGTCGGAGCTGAAATCAACGCTTTAATCTGAAATACAAAACAAACTGTTGAGCTCAAATTATGAATTGATTACTGATCAACCACAATTTGGATAATACAATTATCCAAATCAAATCAAAGCTTTACTGGTTTCAGTTTCGACTTTCCTAGTTCTCTTAGTCTGCTGCAATATTAACGGTTCTGACTGTCAATACAGGATCAATATCATCCATAAAGATACAGCGTATTCTGATCAATAATCAATAAAGATACAGTGTATTCGGCTCAATAATCAATAAAGATACAGTGTATTCTGATCAATATCATCCATAAAGACACAGTGTATTCTGATCAATAATCAATAAAGATACAGTGTATACTGATCAATAATCAATAAAGATACAGCGTACACTGATCAATAATCAATAAAGATACAGCGTACACTGGACTCACCCACTCAGGCTGGTCTGGAGGCGGGTTCGGCATCGGCTCCTCTACAACCGGCTAAACACAGACAGAAACAGTTATCTGATCAACACAGCGATTGATATTCAATCACAGCGATCGATATTCAATCACAGCGCTCGATATTCAATCACCATCACAGAGTTCGATATTCAATCACAATCACAGAGATCGATATTCAATCACAGCGATCGATATTCAATCACAGAGATCGATATTCAATCACAGCGATCGATATTCAATCACAGCGCTCGATATTCAATCACCATCACAGAGTTCGATATTCAATCACCATCACAGAGTTCGATATTCAATCACAATCACAGAGTTCGATATTCAATCACAATCACAGAGTTCGATATTCAATCACAATCACAGAGTTCGATATTCAATCACAATCACAGAGATCGATATTCAATCACAATCACAGAGATCGATATTCAATCACAGAGATCGATATTCAATCACAGAGATCGATATTCAATCACAGAGATCGATATTCAATCACAGCGATCGATATTCAATCACAGAGATGGATATTCAATCAATCACAGAGATCAATGAGAGTAAAGACCATCACCTCTGTGGTCCAGGTCAGAGGGGGGGGGGGGAAGCCCGGCGGGAACCCCATCGGGGGGACGCAGGGTGGGGGGGGGATGGGAGGAGGAGGGATGGGCACGGGGCCGAAGGCTGCCGGGTCGGGAGGAGGAGGAGGGATCCCGACCGGAGGAGGGGGGGACGGGCTCGGGACCCCACGGCTCAGGGGGGCCTTGTGGACCCCTCAGACCCCAACCAGGAGGCCCCCAGTCCTCTGGAGGAGCTCTTATTGGGGGGGCTCTCCAGTCTTCAGGGTGCAGTCTCCAGTCGTCGGGGTGAGGAGGTCTCCAGTCCTCTGGAGGAGGCAGCCAGTCGTCAGGATGAGGCCCCCAGCCTGGTGGGGGGGGCCCTCTCGGGTCCCAGTCGGGTGGTGGTGGCCCCCTCAAGTCCCAGTCCAGTGGTGGGGGCCCCCTGGGATCCCAGTCAGGTGGTGAAGGCCTCCTCGGGCCCCATCCATCAGGCGTCGGAGGGCGCCTCGGGCCCCATCCTTCAGGGGGTGGTGGCCCCCATCCTCCGGGCGGCGGGGGCCCCCATCCTCCGGGCGGCGGTGGCCCCCATTCATCGGGCGGCAGAGGCCCCCAGCCTCCCGGGGGCGGAGGGCCCCAACCTCCCGGCGGGTGAGGGCCCCAGCCCGGTGGACCCATGTCGAACGGTGGCCCGTCTTCCGCCGGCGGTCGGTTCCGCATCGGCCCCTCACACTGCTAATGCTAATGCTAATGTCTATAGGAGATCAATAAAAGTCGTTAACGGTGAAACTCTCCGGTAACTCCACCGTCACATAACGTCACACACATCCGGTTACCGACAGAAACACATACAGCTTCCGGTTCTTCTTCTTCTGTTGCTTTAGAGCCGGACGCTCAGTGACAACCTTCCGCTTCATTACCGCCCCCTACCGGATGGACCTGAACATCACTCGGGATATAATTAAACAGATATTATAGATAATCAATACTTTAATTAATGGTCAATAATATCAATCATTTGTTCTAGAGTCCCAGCAGGGATCCGACCCCTCTCTGTTCCTCATTACACTGTAATACATAGTGTCCATTATATTACTGTAATATATTAAAGTAATATATTACAGTAATATAATAATATACAGTAATATATTACAGTAATATATTACTGTAATATATTAATACTGTATATTATTATATTACTTATTATTACTGTATATTATTATATTACTGTATATTATTATATTACTGTAATATATTACTGTATATTATTATATTACTGTATTATATTGCTGTAATATATTACTGTATATTATTATATTACTGTAATATATTACTGTAATATATTACTGTAATATATTATATTACTGTAATATATTATTATATTACTGTATATTATTATATTATTATATTACTGTAATATATTACTGTATATTATTATATTACTGTATATTATTATATTACTGTATATATATTACTGTATATATTATTATATTACTGTATATTATTATATTACTGTAATATATTACTGTATATTATTATATTACTGTAATATATTACTGTAATATATTACTGTAATATATTACTGTATATTATTATATTACTGTATATTATTATATTATTGTAATATATTACTGTAATATATTACTGTATATTATTATATTACTGTATTATATTGCTGTAATATATTACTGTATATTATTATATTACTGTAATATATTACTGTAATATATTACTGTATATATTATATTGCTGTAATATATTACTGTATATTATTATATTACTGTAATATATTACTGTATATATTATATTACTGTAATATATTACTGTAATATATTACTGTATATTATTATATTAATGTAATATATTACTGTATATTATTATATTACTCTAATATATTACTGTATATATAACAGTATATTATTATGTTACTGTAATATATTACTGTATATACTTATACTGTTATATAATATATACTGTAATAAACTTTAAAATCTAAAATCGACTTTATGAGCTTCTTCCACAATAAAATTATTACTATTAGAGAGAAAATTAATTACCAACTGCCATCAACAGTTATCAGTGGCTCTCCAAGTTCAGGGAACATTCATCAGTTAACTTCAATCATTTCTTCATCGAAGCCATCAACCTGTCTATTAGACCCGATCCCAACTAGGCTGCTTAAAGAAGTTGTTCCCTTAATTGGCACTTCTTTACTGGATATGATTAATCTTTCTTTATTATCAGGATATGTACCACAGTCCTTTAAAGTAGCTGTAATTAAACCCCTTCTTAAAAAGTCCACTCTTGACCCAGGGGTTTTAGCCAACTATAGACCGATTTCTAACCTCCCCTTCCTCTCTAAGATTCTGGAGAAAGTAGTCGCCAAAGAGTTGTGTGACTTTCTACATAACAATAGTTTATTTGAGGATTTTCAGTCAGGATTTAGAGTTCATCATAGCACAGAGACAGCTCTGGTTAAAGTTAATAATGACCTTCTGATTGCTTCTGACAATGGACTTGTCTCTGTACTTGTATTATTAGATCTTAGTGCTGCATTTGACACCATTGACCATAATATTCTTTTACAGAGACTTGAGCATCAAATTGGCATTAAAGGAACCGCACTAAGCTGGTTTAAGTCATATTTATCAGATCGCTCGCAGTTTGTACATGTTAACGATGAATCTTCAATAAATACTACAGTTAGTCATGGAGTTCCACAAGGTTCTGTACTTGGACCAATACTATTTACTTTATATATGCTCCCTTTAGGCAACATTATTAGGAATCACTCCATTAACTTTCACTGTTATGCAGATGATACGCAGTTATAGCTATCAATCAAGCCCGATGAAATTAATCAATTATCTAAATTACAAACATGTCTTAAGGACATAAAATCCTGGATGAGCTGCAATTTTCTGATGTTAAACTCAGAAAAAAACGAAAATTCTTGTTCTTGGCCCCAAAAACCTTAGAGACTCACTGTCTAAAGATATAGTTACTCTAGATGGCATTAACTTGGCCTCTAGCACCACTGTCAGGAATCTTGGAGTTATCTTTGATCAGGATTTGTCATTTCACTCCCACATGAAGCAGACCTCTAGGACTGCCTTCTTTCATTTACGTAATATTACAAAAATTAGACACATACTATCACAGACAGATGCAGAAAAACTAATCCATGCATTTGTTACTTCAAGGCTGGATTACTGCAACTCTTTATTATCAGGTTGCCCCAATAAGTCCATTAAAACGCTCCAATTAATTCAGAACGCTGCAGCACGAGTACTGACAGGAACTAGAAAAAGAGATCACATCTCTCCTGTACTAGCTACTCTGCATTGGCTCCCTATAAAATGTAGAATAGAATTTAAAATCCTCCTCCTCACCTATAAAGCTCTTCATGGTCAGGCCCCTTCATATCTTAAAGAGCTCATAGTACCCTATTACCCCACTAGAACACTACGTTCTCTGAATGCTGGGCTACTTGTGGTTCCTATAGTCTCTAAAAGTAGAACAGGAGCCAGAGCCTTCAGTTACCAAGCTCCTCTCCTGTGGAACACGCTTCCAGTTGTGGTTCGGGAGGCAGACACCCTCACCACATTCAAGAGTAGGCTTAAGACATTCCTCTTTGATAAAGCTCATAGTTAGGGCTGGATCAGGTGAGTCCTGAACCACCAAGGTCTTGCTCATGGTGGTACTGTTGGGTCTCTGTAAATAATGTTATAAAGAGTTCGGTCTAGACCTGCTCTATTTGAAAAGTGTCCTGAGATAACTTCTGTTATGAATTGGTGCTATGTAAATGAAATTGAATTGAATTGAATAAACTGTAATATATACAGTAATATATTACAGTACTATGTAAGGAAGGGATACTGTAGTATAAAGACCTGTAGAACAGAGGAAGCCGGAGCCTGCAGGAGCTGAGTTCCTCCAGCAGGGGGCAGTAGTGCAGCACCGAGGATGCAGGCTGCCGTTAGAGGGACAGAAGAAGAAGAACAGAGGAGGTCTGTGTGCATGTAGAGAATCAGTGAGAATCACTTTTTATCAAACTGATCAATAATTGATTCAGACACAAAGTAAAGTTCCTGCAGCTTCCGGTTCAATAACCGCTGGAGAGCGGAGCTGGTTGACCGCGGGGAGACACACAGTCTCTGCGGGAGGAGATGTACCGTGGTCGGCCTCCGCCGAGAGGAGGCCACCCGCCGCCTCCGAGGCCTTACCCGGCACAGGGTTACAGAGACGACCGGAGCCGGCCCAGGCCTCCGTACCACCCCGGATACCACGACCATGCTCACCCGGACCCGTACCGCCGCTCCCCACCGCGCAGGAGGTACCCTTCCCCCGGGTCAGGAAGCCACCGAGGCGGGGAGTACTGGTCCGGTGGTCCGCCGAGAGAGGTCAGTGAGTCCGGATCAAAACAGGTTTTAATTCAGCTGAGAAACAAACTGGGAGAGTTCATGTTGCTGCATTCTGGTGGCTGTATTCAGTAGTTTGTTTATAGCACCTTTACACCAAACTCCATTCAAAAACCTGCTGATTTACCACATACTGCCTGTCCACTGTGTTTATAGCACCTTTACACCAAACTCCATTCAAAAACCTGCTGATTTACCACATACTGCCTGTCCACTGTGTTTATAGCACCTTTACACCAAACTCCATTCAAAAACCTGCTGATTTACCACATACTGCCTGTCCACTGTGTTTATAGCACCTTTACACCAAACTCCATTCAAAAACCTGCTAATTTACCACATACTGCCTGTCCACTGTGTTTATAGCACCTGTACACCAAACTCCATTCAAAAACCTGCTAATTTACCACAGGCTGCTCTGTCTGCTGTGTTTATACTGGGTGCTGTGGTTGTAGAGGTTGGAGGTACTGGGAGCTGTGGTTGAGGAGATTGGAGGTACTGGGTGATGATGGCTTAAAGCTTCCCTCTCATCCTCTTCTCAATAACAGCCTCCTCACTGTATTGGAACGCACCCCAGCTGTGTGCAGAGTTGAATGCTGCCGTCTCTATAAACGTGTCTGATTGATGTGTGAATGACTGTTTCACTAACCTTTTGTCATATTTGTTGCAGAGTTCTCCGTCACCTCGTGGGCCGATTCCCCTGGACCGCAACCTGGTCATCACTGTCGGCAACAAGCTGACTGGACCACCTGGGTCTGCCCCCTCACGCCACCATGACCGGTACTCCTGAACAAACAATTATTGATTGATTGATTAGAAATGTCAAACCGCTGTAAAGAACTATGGAGTTCTTTTAGTGCCAAATTAGAACCTGAATCTTTTGGTTCAGGCAGCTTAAAGCTTCTCTCTAAGCGCCAGATAATGATTGACAGTGACTCTGATGATCAATATGTCGATCAGCTCCTCTCTGCTGTCATCAGGATTTTCAGAAAATGTTTAAGAGACATTAAAGTCAATAGAAGTGTGATAGGCTCTAAAATCCAGTCCACTAAAAGCCTCTGTTTCTCTACAGAGACTACCCTCCTCGACCTGAGTACGAGCGGAGCCGAAGTCCGGACCGCAGCCGGGCCAAGAGTCGGGGGCGGAGCAAGAGCCGGCCCCGCAGCCAGAGCCGCAGTCCGGACCGCAGCCGGGCCAAGAGCCGGGGGCGGAGCAAGAGCCGGCCCCGCAGCCAGAGCCGCAGTCCGGACCGCAGCCGGGCCAAGAGTCGGGGGCGGAGCAAGAGCCGGCCCCGCAGCCAGAGCCGCAGTCCAGGCCGGAGCCGGGCCAAGAGCCGGGGGCGGAGCAAGAGTCGCCCCCGCAGCCAGAGCCGCAGCCCGGACTGCAGCCAGGCCAAGAGCAAGAGTCGCCCCCACAACAGGTCTTCGTCCAGGTCTAGATCGAGGTCCAGGTCCATAGGGCGGAGCAGAGGACGCAGCTACAGCAAAGCAGCAAGCCGCGGTCGCAGCAGGAGCCGGCACAGGAGTCGCAGTCGCAGCGTGAGCAGCAGCTCGAGCAGCGGAGACGATGGCAGCGAGAAATCCAGAAAAGAGTTCAAAGAGCTGCAGACGGCTCGCCGCAGGAAGGAGCTGGAGGAGATGCTGAGCCTGCCAACCAAATCCATCCTGAAGAAACGCAACGACTCGGAGGACTCGCCATCGCTCAGGGTAAGACGCCGACAACCGGCCGACAGAAGGCTGCTTTCTTCAACAAATAACTTTATTCAACAATATAAAATATTCTTCAATATGTTCAATAATTTAACAGAAACATTGTCATTAGAACTGTAATCTTTATATACCGGAAAGAAACTGCTTTCATATCAGACGACAAATACGCTGATACCGATATATCTGTGATCAATATCACAGGCAGATATATCGGTCAGGCTCTGATTTCAGTTACTACCTATCTGTGCTACAGAGGCGTCACTCAGTCTGTTTCTGTGTTTCAGAGCTCAGACTCTCCCAGAGGTCTGGAAGCCTCCAACATCTGTCGAGTAGCCGACCAGCTGCTGCTGGCTGTTAAAGGCACGGAGCCCCACAGGGTCGCCTCCATGCTGGCAGAGCTGCGCTCCGATCCACGCATGGCTCAACGCGCCGGTCTGGACGCCGAGATCAAAGAGATCCTCAACCTGCTGGGGGTTCAGGCGGCGGGGGGTCGAGGCTCAGGAGAAGGCCGCGGACGACATCGACGACGAGGAGAAGTTCCTGTACGGAGACTCGGAGGAGCCCAAACCTCCGCCGGTCTCCGAGCCGGTCCAACACCACGTTCTGGATCTGTACGGAGACGTGACTGAGGAGGCGCTGTACGGAGACTACCCCCCGCAGAAACCCGTCACCACTCAGACGTACGGCCTTCCACCGGAGGCCTCTTCTCACCTTCAGGTCCCTCCCACCATCGGGGAGGTGGACGTGAGGTACGCAAGCCGGCCCGCCATCAGCCCCGACCGGCACATCACAGTCCAGGTGTCGAACCCCGCCTACCCACCGGGAATGGAGCCGCTGGAGGAGAGCGAGCGGCAGGCGCTTGAGGAGTACGAGAAGATCCAGGACCTGCTGAAGACCATCGGCCTGGACTTGGGTGTGGCCGACATCAGCAAGATGGCCGCCAGGACCAAAGAGAGGCTCCACGGGAACAAGCCTCCCCCGAAGACGCCCACACGCCGCAGACGTTACTCCTCCGGCAGTTCGGACGGCAGCCGCCGCAGCCAAGGCCGGAGGAGGCGGAGCCACAGCAGCAGCCCCAGCAGCAGCAGCAGTGGGAGTCGCAGCCGTGGGCGGGGGGGCAGCTGGAGCAGCGACGACAGCCACAGGAAGAGCTTGGCTCCGCCCACAACTCACAGAGACGTGAAAGAGCCGAAGGTCGAGCGGAGCGACGCAGCACCCACGCCGCCTCCACAAAAGCTTCCTGACCCCAAAACTCTCCCCCCTCCTCACCCCGGGGTGCCCATACCCAACTACCCCCCCCCACAGGTCCACGGAATGATGCCCCCTAACTTTCCCCCGCCGCATTACGGCCAGTACGGGAACTATCTTCCTTACATGCACCAGCAGTGGCCGCCCATGTACCCGCCCCCAACATGACACTGCCCCCCCAGACCCGCCCAGACGAGTTCCCCCCCCACTCTGCCCTATAAACAGGCCTTGAACAGAGTGGCCCCTGAGCCGGGGGCCAAAGGTCAGTGTGATCAGAGATTATTAAGGAATATTCCAACTCTTATAAGCTTCTGTTAAATAATGAGCAGCAGATTTGAGAAGAACTCTTCTAGTTATAACTCTGAGTTTCCTAAAGATGGCCGTCTGATACGATTCCTCTGATTATACAATGTTTGTTTGGATGCAGTTGGGTCAGTAAATGTCCGTCCTGCTGCTTGTTGTGTCCTCAGCTTTGGTGAAGAGTTGTGTTCAGGACGCTGAGAAGGGAAAAGTCAGCAGCCACGACAGAAGAGTGTCTGAGGAGCAGAACAACGAGAGCCAGAAACAAAAGGTCTGACCTTCATTTGTCACCTTTGGTCAGGAATTCAACAGCGATTCACACCGATAACGACTGCAGGTAGAACAGGTGTCCTCAGGTGAGCTGAACCTGACTGTGTGCTTGTTCTGCTGAGTTCAGGTTCTGGAGGAGAGAGAGAAGCTGAAGCAGGAGAGAGAGACCAGGATGAAGAAAAAAGAATATCTGATGAAGGAGCTGGAGAGACTCCGGAAGCAACAAGGTGAGTTCACACAGAGACGCCACGTTGCTCGAGCCTCGTTCGCACTAGATCACAAGATGTTTCACAAGGAGTAAGTTACTTATATATGAATCAAATTGACAGTACAGATCTTTAACCTGTATCTACAGCACTGACCTATGCCCTGTATCTACAGCTCTGCCCTGTATCTACAGCACTGGCCGCCGCCCTGTATCTGCAGCACTGCCCTATGCCCTGTTAAATATCTGCACACACACATGATGCAGTGAATTAATTATTTTCAGGCGAGCTCCTGAGGAAGAAGAGGCGGGAGAAGGGGGGCCACAAAGACCCTCTGCTGCAGGAGATCAGCCACCTGCAGGAGGAGGTCATGACTCAGATCTCCAACCTGCGCAAAGAGCACGAGGCTGCCGAGAAGAAACGCAGCGAGATCGACAAGGTGGCGCTCATCCTCGGTCTGAGCCCTTCCGACCGGCCCCGCGGGACCAGTAGGCCGGCCGAGGTCCAGGAGGCCGAACCGCCGCCGCCAGAGAAGAAACGGGAGGCAGAGAGAAGTCCTGAGCGACGGCAGGCAGCCAGCAACTCCATTATAAAGGTACAAACACCTGCAGAGGAGGTAAAACTGGAAGTATTACTGAAAGATCATAGCTAGGGCTCAGGACTTTTATTGATCTAAAAACGGAAATTCTCAGTAAAATGTATGTGGAATACTGTAAACATAACTCGTTTCATATTTCTCTCAGATATAATTTCTGATGAAAACAGAAGATTAAATGTGTCCACAGTCCTGAGCAGACGGACCAACGTCTGCATTCACTCAACTGTAATGAAGCTTATTTGTGATCCAAACTACTTTTATTATATTTTACTTGTTAGTTTATGTTTTTGCCGCTTTGTTGGCTCAGAATCTGGAGGGGTAATTACCTGTATTGTAATGTGACAACTGGTAAATTCACAAGAATGAACTGTAATGTTTCCACTAATGCGTTCCTTTCACATTAAAAGCCTCACTTAAAGGCTTTTAATGTGAAACATCTGTGCAGGAAGTGACCCGGCCTCTATTTGAGACCTTTCTGTGGCTCATTCGCTGCATCAGACTTTAAATGTTTTTATTCTTTCTACTGAACGTTTGGATTTGAATCACAACTCGAGCCGATATCGGCCTGTTGCAGACATATTGCTGTTTATGTTATTCACAACGTCTGTTATTCAGTATTTAATGCAGAAAACTGTTTGTGGTAATATTTTATATTGGTGTCAGTGCACAGTTTGTCCATCACACGGTGCTATGGTTTACAATACTGTGGCAGCAGCACAGAGAGAACAGAAAGAAGAAGAAGAAGTTAAATAGTTAAAAATAAAGTTATTTGTTTAAGGAAGCAGCTTTCTGAGGACCACAATCCACATAGAAAAGCTCCATTTTCATTCAAATATTCACTATATCAGCCGCCACATCGCTAATCGGTGAATAGAGAGTGTAAAGTCGGTATCGGTCGGGCTCCAACAACCACCTGACCTCCGTGCAACAGGAGCCTTTATCTGCAGATTAGTAAACATAAATGAGTGTTCAGCTCAGAGAGGAATCGGATGTCTTAAATCTAATAAATGTGAGCTTGAACTGAGATAGTTGTGTAATCAGAAGTTAAAGCTTAAAGTTGTCTCTTTTTACATGATAGAAAGTTTACTGGGAACTTTGTAAAGTTGTAAACTTTTAAATCTGAACGGTATCATCTGCGCTTTATTAAAAGAAACAAAACGTACGTTTGTCTCTTCTGCGACTGATGGAACTTAAAAGAGTTAGAAGTTACTGTCGGTATAAAAGCGACTTTGGGATTCTCGTAAAATACTTGTTGATTAACGTCTTGGAGGCTGGAATTCAACGAAGGTAAGAAACTTTTTTCTTTAAGTTTTAAAGATGAGACTGGAATGTTTTTGTCTGAGTGAATCCTGTACACTGCCACCCGCCATGTTGACTCTCCTCCATCTTTGTTTCTTAGCAGACCTCAGCGTTGCCGCCGTCCTTGAGAGCATCCCAGGACGAGCCGCCCGTCAGCGCCCCGGCTCCGCCTCCGGCCCCGCCCACAGACCCATTTGAATACTATGATGCAGGAAACCACTGGTGCAAAAACTGTAACGTCACCTCTGGTTCCATGTTTGATTTTTTCACACACTTGCACAGCAAATCACATCGAAAGGTTTGTGACAGCTTTTGTCTTTTATTTTGAAAATATAGTGTGTTTTTGCTTTGGAGGGAGGTTTGATATTCACACCTGTACAGTCCTTATGTGTTTGTTCCTTTAGATTGAATTCATTATTTTTTTCCACAGACTCTGGACCCGTACGACCGGCCCTGGGCTTCCACTCCCACCAAAACCGCCAAGAACACGCGGGCAGAAGAGAAGCTGACAAAACCCGCCAAAGGTACTTGTACTGCACATTCATCAAGTCGTCATTAAGGCTGCTTTTTTCCTAATGACCCCGGTGTCCTAGTCCCTGAATGTTGTTAGCCATCTTCTGCTTCCAGGTGGAGCTCAGTGTGGATCTCTGCTGCAGTTTCTGTGTCTCTTAATGAAAACAGTGCTAACGAAGTGACAAAGACTCACTGAAGCACAGAGGAGACTCCTGTCCACACCTCTGATGTCAATTCATTCCTTTGTCATATTTCATCCTCAAACGAAGGCGGCTGTAAATGTAAGCTGCTGCAGTAACCTTTGGAAAAGTGCTTCAACTTCCCATCACAGCTGTGTTAGTCTGTCCTAATTGTACTCTGTTTCCTGCAGTCACCCTGATATCACTGAGCAGTTAGCACTCTTCCCCTGGTCACTGCTCTGAAATAAGACCACTGATTTGTACACCATCTACTTGTTCAGTCTTTTATTATGAAATGTTCCCTCTCCTGGCCTGACAGGTTCTGGAAATGGACGCGTCCATCAGGTAAACATGATTGACAGTTGATTTTATCTCCAGCTGTGGGTTTAAAATGTGCTGCGTGTGTTTTTGCTGCAGGTTCAGAGTTCTTGCTGCCTGTCAGAGGATTCTTCTGCCTGCTGTGTAAAGAGTTTTATGGAGACGCCATCTGTGCAGAAGAGCACGTCACCACACACACTCACAATGAGAAATACAAGGTATTTAACCGTGGGAGTGGAGAATCACCACATACGCACAAACGGAGATAGTGGAGAAGCTGCCAGACAACCTTTTATTATAAAACAGGGAAACTGTGGCCAATAAAGTTCTCTTGTAGTTTTACAGGCCTTTTCCTCTACAGGAACTTATTGAAATGTTATTGATCATTTATCCGTTGGCTCTGGTTGAGCTTTTGTTTCCAGTGCTGTCTATTTCCATTAAACTAACTCTGTATGACTGCAGTTATTGTGTGAGGGTTATAAACACAGTGAATGGACAATATAATACTATATCCATTAACTCTGACTCTTTGGTTTTCTGGCACTTCTGTGTATATATTTTATACGAGTTTCTGCAGAGTTCATAAGAAAAAAGATCACTTTATTGTTACAAAGGTGGTGGAGGAACAAAAGGACAAACTGGGATGCTTTTAAGGCTTACTTTAGTTAATGATAATGTCCTCCTCAGCCGAGGAAAAAAAAAAAATCTTTACAAGAGTTTGAAGGTACATTGTCCGAATTTAAACAAGATTACAAAGAGGGTCAGTCAATTATTTTATAGCACATAAACCGGAGGGGCCAGACTAAGAACAATTCACAGACCCTGTATGAATTGGCCAGGACCCCCTCATGGAGCCAGACCTGGGTGGGAAACTTGTGGGTGAGCGTCTGTTGGCTGGTTCTTGACCCATGGAGCTAGAACCACAAAAGAACCACATGAAGCCGCTGCCCTCTGGGTCCACATCCCGCATAGATAGGGGTCAGGGTTGGGCAAAAGCAGGGAGAAATTTCTAGAACATGGTCTGATGCCACTGATCGCTGCCACTTCAAATATGACAGAATCGTTACCATGTAAGAATGAGATCACATAGAGAAAGAAATTCTAAATTCCCACATGACATGAAAGCAGCATTATCCAACGTAGATTGGATTGAATTTCATTGAAATAATTCCAGTACCTGGCAGGTTCTGGTTAAAATTAGGAGTATTAAGTGCATGTGAATGTTCCAGTTGGATCCGATGAGGTTCATACCACATACAGGACATGTTTCAGTTACTCTATCACATTTGATGATCTGGTTACAAGATTGGAAGTGTTTGTATTTCACTCATCTTGTCTTTCGCTTCCTTTACCAGAAACAAATGTACGAGAATCCCTTGTATGAACAGAGGAGGAACCTGGACCGCCAGGCAGGACTGGCCTCAGAGACAAGTGGAAAGAAACGGAAACATGAGGACGACGAGAAAGGAAACAAAGACAAGGAGGAAAAGTCCAAACCCAAAAAGGAGAAAAGGGACAAGGAGAAAAAGAAGGAAGAGGATGACACTATTCAAAAGGAGGAGAAATCTAAAGTTAAAAAGGAGGAGGAGAAGCCGAAGCTGAGCAAGAAAGAGGAGGATTTTAAAGATGCCAAAAGCCTGGAAGAAGAGCGGCCTTCCTATACCAAAAAAGATGAGGATGAAAAGTCTAAATACAGCAAGAAGGATGATAAATACCGGGTCAGCAGAGAGGAAGAGGAGAGGGGTAAATACAGCCGAAGAGAAGAAGAATATCGGTACCGCTATCGCAGAGATGAAAACGACAAATATGACGATCGTCCCAAATATGGGCCGAGAGAAGACGAGGACAAGTATAAATATTGTAAATATTCAGATTTCAGGCCCAAATATGACAGAGAGAGAGAAGGGAAACCTAATGCTGAGAAGGAAGCTTTTAAAAAGCTTGAGCCGGGAAAACCAGCAGTGAAACCAGCAGGGAAACCAGAAGTCAGCAAGCCAGAACCTCTGCCAAAGCCCTACGACCCGCCTAAAATCTTCTCTGGACCCAGTCCAGCCATGAGGGCAAAGCTACGCAAGCAGAGCCTTGAAGCCAGCAAACCAGCACTGGTGGCCCCGACCCCTTCATTCGGAAAGTTCATGTGGAAAAAGAGGGAGAACATTCTGGCAAAGGAGGCAGAGAAAGTGGCCGCCGAGTTCATCAAGGATGACGAAGCGGCTGCGAAGCAGAATCCAGTCTTGGTAGAGGACTGTTTTGCAAAATCCCTGGCTGTTGCTAAGGAGATTGCCCAGAAGCTGGGGGACCAGCCAAGCCAGGTTCCTCCCTGGGTATCCAACAGCGACAACCGGGGAAGGATCCGACCAAACCTCCCTGCACCCGCTGCAGTCCTGAGGAAAACAGCCATGATGGGTAAACCTGCACCTCTGAACACCTTCCTCTCTATCAGACCCCAAAACACTAGTTTACAAGGGTATCCAAAAGATGGACCACCAGTTGGTGGACCTGGGCCAATCGAAGTTGTGACTGCACCGGGGGTTGCTAGACAAGAGCCATTTGAGGTTAATTGTGTGCCACCAGTTTCTGAACCTGCAGTGTTTGAGGGAAAACCTGCGCCACCAGTTTCTAAACTTGCGGTGTTTGAGGGAAAACTTGCGCCATCAGTTTCTGGACCTGCGTCGTTTGAGGTTAATTCTACGCCCCCAGTTTCTAAACCTGCATTGTTTGAGGTTAATTCTGCACCCCCAGTTTCTAAACCTGCATTGTTTGAGGTTAATTCTGCACCCCCAGTTTCTAAACCTGCATCGTTTGAGGTTAATTCTGCACCCCCAGTTTCTAAACCTGCATCATTTGAGGTTAATTCTGCGCCACCAGTTTCTAAACCTGCATCGTTTGAGGTTAATTCTGCGCCACCAGTTTCTAAGGCTGCTCCATCTGTGGTTAAATCTGCACAACCAACAATGATTAAGATAGTATCTGATGTCGCAGCTCCCGGCGTCCCAGAAAGTGAGCAAACACGTACTGTATTTGTTAAGCCTCCTCCTTTCATGACTAAGAGCAACGGAGCTCAGAAGTCTGAGAAACTGAAGAGTAACCTGGCTGCAGCCAAAGCCCAGGACTTATTTGACATATTCTACAGCAGCGCTGGCCAATCGGGCTCCTCCTCCATCACCAAACCAGCAACAGACACTGGAAGTGACAGGAGTAGCAACAATAAAAGTCAACTTTTACCTACCCCGCAAGCACAAAAACAGCAACCTCAGCCTCTTACCCAGTCCCAACCTCCAACTGTGGTCTGTTTGTCTCCCCAACCAGGCTCAGACAGTTCCCCAAGTCCCCAAAACCAGCCAGAATCAGACATTCAGATTGCATCCGTTTGGTCTTTGCAGTCTACCCCAATTCCAACATCTGAGGTGGCTTCATCCAAAACTTCACAAACATCCCAACCAAAACTGAATCCACCAGCCCAGTCCGAGGCTCAGAGTCTACCCCAAAAACAATCATCAGCTCCTAAATCTGAGTCCCAACTCACCCCACCAACTGAGCCTGATGAGCCGCAACCAAAACCTCAAACTCTGTCCCAGCCCAAACTGACTCCTCAAATCCAAACAGAACCACAATCTCAATCCCAACCAGACCAGGACACCCCGTCCCATCCAGAGACCCATCCTGATGCAGCTCTAGAACCTGAACCCAAACCAAGCCCCAAAGCTAGAGGCAAGGCAGCAAAGAGAGCCCCCCCTGCCCCCCGCCCTGTCCGACAAACTAGATATCAGACCCGGCGGCAGCAGCAGAGCCAGTCCGAGCCAGAGCCTGAGCCGGCTTCAGGAGATTCTGACTCGGCAGCGTCAGACCTAAAAGGGCTGGACACATCAGATCTGGGCTCTGGATTGCATCTGGAGGAGGGGCACCCAGCGAGGGGGACCCTCAGATGATGGAGATTACCCCAGAAAACCTGGGTCTCCCCTCCGACATGACCTCTCTGGACTTTGATTACAATTTTAACTTTGAGTAGGAGTTGACCTGACTGTGTGACGGGAATCTGGGCAGGGGGTTCTTTAAAACCTCTCATACGTCCAGTTTGATCAGAAGATCGTCAGCCGCAGTCTGTGATCAATAAATTACTGGACTTAAGACCCTCATCTGTTTAAAGGACCAGTTTAACGTTGAATGAAACCATCTTGTTCTCCTTCTTCTCCAGAGTCTGATGTTTCAGATATCGACTTCATTCCTGTGTATCCAGTGCAGACATGGATCCAGGACGTCTCTAGTCCTGGATGGCACATAATCCTATACTGTTACTGATCACAAAAATCCTCTAAAGGACAAAAACCAACAATGACTTTATGAGTATTTAGTAAATGGTTTATGCCTTTGTGTCGTAGACCTCCATTGTTAACCAGATGCTACTTGTCAGTAGGATACATTCAGTGTTTGAGTCTGCACATGGGATCTGATGTTAAACATCCATATCTTTTTCTAGTCTCTGGACGACAACAGGGCTCTGTGGTACAGAGTTATAAGCTACTTCATGTGGCCATAAGATCTGGGTCTGGTTTTCATGGTTTGGGAGAGGCCCCCTTGGTTCAGTGGGGTCCCCCAAAGGGTTACAAGTTTATTTTAAGAGGTTGTAATGGTGTGTTCCCACCAAACGCAACACAAATTGTCCCCTTGTGTTACTCACAGGATCGGTTGGGAAGAGAGAGTGAAGATAAATTGAATCCCCACAGTTTGAGTAATAAACAGTGTAAACCGATCAGATCAGGATCCGGTGGGACTCTGGCTGTTTATGGGCTCTCTCCTGCAGAGCTCCCCGGGCGCCAGCAGCTGTCTGTGGGCAGCAGCAGCTCCGTCTCTCCCTCCTCCTCCACACAGACTGCAAACACCCCGACATACGACACAATGAGCCCCTCTAAGTTAATATTGTTCACTTGAATGGGGCGAATGTTGCGTGTGCTCCCCATTCGCTTCTGTGCATTGACTCTGTTTGTAATCTACTCCAATAATGTGATTTGCGTTTGGTGGGAACACACTATAATACAATTAACATAAAACTTTATTTTCTTATTTCAGAAGATCCTCTTATGAATAACTGGATAATATTTCCTCTTCTTGCCTCTAAAATGAGTAAAATAATCAGCGTCTGCTAGCAGCCCACTGACATACAGAATCACTGCCTCATTTTAAGGAGGTAAAAAAGGTTGAAATTCTTCTGCTGTCCACATACTTTTGGTCACGTAGTGTATCTCAGACTCTACAGACGATACTTGTTAGCGGGATGAATCCATCGTTCTGATATCCACCTTCTCATCGGACTGTGTGGAAGACGGCAGCAGAGAGTTCCTAAAATGTCTAACTGTTCCTTTAAAGACGAGCGCTGAGTGTTTGTCACACGTTCAGATATAAAATCTCTCCTCGTTCTTTCTCCTCCGGCAGGTAAAGTACCGGACTCCCTTTGTTCGTTTCCTTCTTTTCTACTGGAGGTCAGACTCACGGGTCAGTCAGTGTTTCCTCTCTGATGGATGACGAGGTGTTTTTCACTGTTCAGCTGGTGAAATCAAAGCGGCAGCACGGACCAAAATCAGCTCTGTTAGTTTGAAAGCTGCAGTTCACTTATTCACTGAAGGTCCAGGAGCTGATTGTGTGAAAGAGCGTCAGGTTTTTGTCCTGCGTTGTGTTTGAAGCACTGATCCGTGGTCAGTGTCACTGTGTGTGAATCGAAACAAACTTGTCTTGTAAAGTGAGTTTTAATAAAAGTTAGTGAGGAAACAAACAGCTGCTGTGTGCTGTGTTTCTTCCACCCCGAAGTCACTGCAGGGTTAATGTATGGAGCTGAGAGCGCCATCAGTGCAGCTGTTTCTGGAAAGAAAACACACATTTGGTGTCTTTTTCTTCAGAATCTCAACCAAACAAACTTGACTAACTTTTTCATTATTGAACGTCACAAGGAAACTGAGTTTGTGTTGAAAAGACAAACGAATCACTTAATCTCCACCTGATTAACAGTCAAAGATAATTAGACACTTGTCCTTGTCCTGCCGTCTGTCTCTAAGGATCAGACAAGTAGAGTTGGGACCGACACAACTCCCATATTGGATACCGATCCACATACTGGTCCAGAGTCTGGTGGTTTAATCAATGTGTAATAATGTAGCACTGATTTATTAAACAACGACCACAAACTCGCCCATTGGTTTGTGGAGTACCGTTGGAAGTGCCATTAACCTTCAACCACCCTGTGAATCCTTCACCACCTCACAATGTCTTAACTGCACTTTGATCAGTGGTTGTTTCCTGAGCAAAACGTTGAGCCTTACGGCGCCAAAAGTGGAAACATCTCACATTGACCAAATTATTTTATTCTGTGTTCCTTCCATTTTTTTATTAATTATAAACTATATTTTTGTCATTAGTCGACCTTCAGGAACGTGAACTAGAACCGTTCAGTACCAGAGTTTAATGTTAGAACTGTTCAGTCTGGGTCTCCAGCTGTTACACTGATGGATGCTAACCTGCATATGTTGGACAATTAGCATCATTAGCAACATTAGCATTAATAATCAGCTATATGGATGATATCTCAGCAGCTGATTGGCTGATTGGGACAATATAGGAGGTTTTGGGGTTATTGAGGACTCTGGATCCATTTCTGACATTTCAAAATACAAAATGGACGTTTAAATCAGAAGTGGAAATATTTCAGCTCCCAGTGGCTGATTGTGATTCATTGTGAGGTTATTGATTGGTTTACTATATTGGGCTGCCTGAAACAGTGAATGTTTGTCTGTGGTTCAGTCTGTAGTTTCTATCTTCCTGTCATATTGAACTCACACTGACTCTGTGTGTCTGAAGTGTTGATGTTGGGCCGTTGAGTCGGAGGACGTTTGAGGACATTGTGTGTCTGTTTCTGTGGACTGACAGTGGACAACATGGAAGACGAGTCTCCTGCAGGAAAGGTAAGCTAAGCTTCGTACAAACAGCACTGAGGATGTAAAATGCTTCCTGTTTCAATTCAATTCAATTTTATTAAATAGCACCAATTCATAACAGAAGTTATCTCAGGACACTTTTCAAATAGAGCAGGTCTAGACCGAACTCTTTAACATTAATTACAGAGACCCAACAGTACCACCATGAGCAAGACCTTGGAGACAAGGGCAAGGAAACACTGCCTGTTAAAAGGCAGAAACCTAGGACAGATCCTCCGGCTCTAGGTGGGTGGTCGTCTGTCTCGACCAGTTGGGGTGAGAGAGAGAGAGCGAGAGAGGCAGAGAGAGAGAGAGAGAGACAGAGACAGAGAGAGACAGACAATCTAGCAGGACCATGGCAGGAGGCTCCACCAGGATCGATAAGAACCTGCGAGATGAGAAAGCATAAGAACTCCGGGGAAGAAGTGAAGTTTCTACATCAATATGTTCTCTTCTATAGAAAATGTTTGTTTTCTTTACTCAACTTGTTGCCACTTTATTTTACAGTTAATTACCTGCTAATTACTAAGAAACTACCTGCTAACACAATATAGTTATATCAGGGCTCCTGTCAGTGGGGGAGGGGTATATCAGGGATCTTATTTTGGCTCATAATCAAAATGTTTAAAATTAAAGAGGTGCTCTGGGTTTAACAGTGTTGGGCAGTAACTAATTAACATAATTTCCCCCTGGGATTATTAAAGTATTTCTGATTCTGAATTACTAGTAATATTACTTTCTACAGTAACTAGTAATGTAACTAATTAATAAATGTCAGTAATAATATTACAATACAGTTATTTATTATTTTAACAAAACTACTAGTGTAACTAATTACTGTTGGCAGAGTAATAAATAAAGTAATATAACGTGAGTAATAAATTACATTTGTTCAGTAATGAGCACAAACACTGGGCCACAGTCAACCATCAGTCGGTACTGTTCAAACATATTGTACCTTTTACTTTAGTTATTTAACAGCTTTACAGAGTAAGATTTTATATTAAAGAGAGGCTTATAAAATACATACAGTTCTGTATTAATCATTATATAGTATTTAATAAAACATTTAAGACTAATTCTACCTCCGTTAGAGATGAACCGTTTGGTTACAACGTAAGATAGACTTTATTGACCCCACACTGGGGACATACACATTCAATAAAAACAGATATAAACACATATATAATAAAAATACAAGCTATAGAATTAAAAGGATACACTATATACAGCTGATCATAAAGTGATTATTATACAATAGGATCAATAGTGTGTGGGTGGTCAGACGGGGCTCACTATCATCAGGTTGAAGGTGTTTTGTTGCTAGGGAAGACTCAGGTCCTTCCTCACCTCCCTTCAGCCTCACCCTCATCACTAAACTCTCAGCAGCCAATCAGAAAAATCCCTCCGTGCGTTGCTAGGCAGCTCTGCGCAGCCAGCAGCCAATCAGATCGCCCGGGCCGGGAGCGGGGCGCAGGGAGCCGAGACAGACCGAGTGACAGCGTCTGATTCCCGGGGAAGAACATCACGGAGCTCCCGTGGAAAGGAACCCTGCAAACACAGCCAAGATGCCGAACAAAACCAAGAAGGAGAAGGTGAGCCGGCGGGTCGTTTTACACGTTACACTGTGATATATTCGTTATTTTTCGCGGGAGAAGACTGTAGACGTAATATTTTATCGAGTAGCGACTAGCTAATGTGGCTAAGTAACCTGCTAAGGCCCCGCTAGTAGAGGACGGCTACGCTAACCGTTAGCTGCAGGGTAGCATTGTAAACCAGTATCAGCCGCTTACACTCAATATTGAACTAAACCCGCACATTAGCGGCTGTGTCCGGTTGTCAAAGCGGTACAATGAGACGTTAACTGTCTGAGAGCATCCTTGCTAACTAGCTAGCTAGCTGGTGAAATTAACGGGCTGCGATATTTCGTTTGATAGGATGGCAAAGGAATGACCCGCCCTCTGATTGGCTCACAGTGTTCCAACCTTAACCAATCACACTCCTCGTGTCTGACGCTAACGATAAGTGTCAGCCAACCAGAGGCCGAGGAGGGCGGGTCATTCCTTCGCCATCCTAGGAAATAAAAAGAGTTAACGGGCTGCTGCTGGAGCTCCGGGAGGAACCGCTGCCTGGTCCCTTAAATTATTCATCCGGTAGGAAGCAGACTGGGCTCGGATAGAAACCCGTGACTCATCCGTGTATGTCTGCCTCCACTCAACATGAAATAAGTGCTAACCAGCTTCGGAGAGTGCAGGTTAGCCGTTAGCTTAGCGTTAGTTTTGCTGCTGATTTTATCATCTGTGTGTGTGTGTGTGTGTGTGTGTGTGTGTGTGTCTGTGTGTGTGTGTGTGTGTGTCTGTGTGTGTGTGTGTGTGTGTGTGTGTGTGTGTGTTGTGTGTGTGTGTGTGTGTGTGTCTGTGTGTGTGTGTGTGTGTGTGTGTGTGTCTGTGTGTGTGTGTGTGTGTGTGTTGTGTGTGTGTGTGTGTGTCTGTGTGTGTGTCTGTGTGTGTGTGTGTGTGTGTGTGTCTGTGTGTGTGTCTGTGTGTGTGTCTGTGTGTGTGTGTGTGTGTGTGTGTGTGTCTGTGTGTGTGTGTGTGTGTGTGTGTCTGTGTGGATTATTGTGCGCACACACACACACAGTCTGTGGATCAGTTCATCCATCACTTTACTTCTTCATCCTTGTGGGCAGTCACTGATTATTCTGTAGTTTATAAAATGTCCTCCCAGTCTGTCCATGATGGGCAGCCTGAATGATCACCGATCAATTACTGTGATCAGTAGTCTCACTGTATGTTTAGCAGCTTTTTCTGGAGCTTTCAACCACTTGGGAAAAGAGGGAAAGGGGAGGGAGGGGTAGGTAAAGGTATGGGTAAAGGTAGTGGGTAAAGGTGTGGGTGGAGGGGTGCAGTGAGTGTCCCAGTTGCTGTTTCTGTAAATGAATGGCTCCTCTATCAGTCAGATTGTTTCCACAGTCTTCATACGGTTGTTGTTGTTGTTGTTGTTGTTGTTGTTGTAGTTGTAGCTGTAGCTGTAGCTCTGCTGCATCCTGTTGGCTGGAATAATAAAATCTGGAATAATAATAAAAAGGATTTAGCTTATCGTTACTCTTGTTTTCCACTAAAACATACTAAACGTACTAAAGTTATAATGGATGCACGTTTTAGAACTACAATTAATCAATCAATCAAACTCTATTGGCATCTTTAAACCTTTAAACTTTTAAAGTCTCAGTTATTTGTGGCCGTTCAGGCGATATCACAGTGACTCTGACGTCTGCTACCAACATCAGTAATCTGTCTACAAACTACCATTTGTATTTAAATGCTTCCACTTTTCTTCTGTGTGTAAACAGGAATCAACCAAATCTGCCAAAAGCAGCATGAAGAACAGTAACAGCGGCGGCGGGAAGGACGCCGCGGCCGAGAACTCGGACGAGGTGAGCGCACGCTCGTCTCTGCAGACACATGATGGAGCTCCAGTGTGGCGTTCACTGTCACATGTTGTTTCTGAGTCTGCAGGGCAAACTGAAACACTGCTGCTGCATCACACAGCAACACCCAGTATTGGGAGTCAATATTCAGTCTGTTTTATTGACACTAACATAACTTTATTTCTCAATTTGACAATAAAGCTGACTTGACTTGAATCATGGAGAGACAAGCTGAGAAAACCAGTTTAAAGTTGGAATGGGACCTCATTTATGTTTCTACATCAGACTTTAATCAAAGATTCAGTATTTAGAATAATGTTACTATCTGCAATGTTCCTATATTTTATTTATTAGCTCCATGCTACTAACTAGCTCCCCGTTTACAAATCACCCATCAGCCAACACCACGAAGCAACCGACGCCAGACAGTCGTTTGTAGTCGTTTGTAGACGTTAGCGGACTCCATTTATAAGCTAACGTTAGCTAGTGTTGCCCACTGTTGACGCTGTAGGGAAGCGGAGAGAGAAGGCACTCGGGAGCATAAAGGTCACAACCTCAGATTTAAATGTTGCTAAATCCTGATTGGTACACAGAAATATGTGACATCATGATTTCCCGCGTGGAACCAGAGAGAGGAAGCTCAGAGAATCAGAGACTGATCTCATTTTCCACTCTGACTATTAACGAAGAGCTGGTGATCAGGTTCAGCTATAGTTTACCTGCTGCTCTGATCACCTGACCCTGCAGGACCGGAGAAAGTGTCTGACCGGGTTCAAGGATCAGACGGACCAGGATCTGATGTCCACAGTGTGCCAGATGAGCTTCTCACACAGAATCTTTAACAACAAAGAGTTTAAGTCCACAGCCTCGTTCATACCGACAGCTACTGAATAAAGTCAGTCCAACAAAGACTCCTTAAACACGTCAGCACGTTCATTTCCAGGACCGCAGAACTACAACTCCCAGGATGCAACACATATTTGGCAGATGTTCATTAATGAGTTATAACCTGTGTGTGTGTGTGTGTGTGTGTGTGTGTGTGTGTGTGTGTGTGTGTGTGTGTGTGTGTGTGTGTGTGTGTGTGTGTGTGTGTGTGCGCAGTCCCAGCAGCAGCAGAGCGGCAGTAAGCGTCCCAGTAATAGCACGCCTCCTCCAACTCAGCTCAACAAGATCAAATACTCCGGAGGTCCTCAGCTGGTGAAGAAGGAGCGGCGCCAGAGCTCGTCCCGCTTCAGCCTGACCAAGAACAGAGAGCTGCAGAAACTACCTGCACTCAAAGGTAACTAATCCATGCAACATGCAGTGTAATCCCATTACTTATCAACTGTTCAGGATTGTAGAGACCTAACTGACTAACTGATGTTGTGAAGACATTTTTCATCTGAATTCTGTAATATATCTCTCTTCAAAGCCACTAACCAAAGTCCATTGATAAAAACAGTCACTTAAGAGTTTCTGCTCTACCCCAGCCTCCATCTACAGCACTTAGTGTTAGTCACACAGTAACACAAACAAACTAACCAGTTCCAGAAACTAAATGGCTGTTTTTATCAATGGAGTCTGGTGGCTTTAAAGAAAGCATAGATGATATAACGGCTTCAGTTCCCATCAGGAAGAGCTGTGTGACAGCGAGGTAAAATACACTTCACCTGATATAGATTGTTTAAAATCAGCTGCCATGTCCACAGCAGAACTTGTCCACCTTAAGAACAACCACCTTTGGGTCTCAATAAAAGCTTGTGGGTTCTGGGTTCAATGTAGAAAATCACTTCCTGTCCTCCATCTGACGTCATGTGCAAACCAGATTTATAAAAGATGCAAATGACACAAGAAATATCAGTAAGATGACTTTTGCCTTTAGACCATTTCCCAGCTGGACACTGTGTACTAGAACCAGCTGTTACCAGATGTTTCTGTGATTTAATAAACGGATCAAAAGGATGCTGAAAGAACTGCTACTGTCAGCCTGTCGAGCAAACAACTTTTAAAATGCTTGTTTTCTGAATGGAGTTTGGTTGATACTAAAGCAACCTCAGTGTCTCCATATAAACAAACAGTCTTCTTCTGTGGTGTCCACTGACCGCCACCGTCCTGTCCTCCTCAGATGCGCCCCTGATGGAGCGCGAGGAGCTGTTCGTCCAGAAGCTGCGTCAGTGCTGCGTCCTGTTCGACTTCGTCAGCGACCCGCTCAGCGACCTCAAATACAAAGAGGTGAAGAGAGCCGGACTCAACGAGATGGTCGAGTACATCACGCACAACAGCGACGTGGTGACCGAGTCCATCTACCCCGAGGCCGTCCTCATGGTGAGAACACGTGTAACCATGACAACAGAGTGGACCATGTTCAGTGAGTGTGTATTCAGTGTGTGTGTGTATTCAGTGTGTGTGTGTGTGTGTGTGTGTGTGTGTTCAGTTCTCAGTGAACCTGTTCCGGACTCTTCCTCCGTCCTCCAACCCGACCGGAGCCGAGTTCGATCCCGAGGAGGACGAACCGACGCTGGAGGCTGCCTGGCCTCACCTGCAGGTACTTGAACACATCAGGTCCATTTGTTTTCCTCCAGTAACTCATCAACTCATCTTCATGGAACCCAAAGAACTTTATACTGACGGATATATCACACAGAACCAGAGCGCTGAGAGACAGACAGAAGAGACACAGACAGGAGAGACACAGACAGTGAACAGAAAGTAAACAGACAGTAAACAGTCAGTGAACAGTCAGTAAACAGTCAGTTGAACTGACAGTAAACAGTCAGTTTACAGTCAGTTGAACAGACAGTTGAACAGACAGTGAACAGTCAGTGAAAAAACAGTAAACAGGCAATAAACAGTCAGTAAACAGTCAGTAAACAGACAGTAAACAGGCAATAAACAGTCAGTAAACAGACAGTAAACAGACAGTTGAACAGACAGTGAACAGTCAGTAAACAAACAATAAACAGTCAGTTGAACAGTCAGTTGAACAGTCAGTAAACAGTCAGTTGAACTGACAGTAAACAGTCAGTTTACAGTCAGTAAACAGACAGTAAACAGGCAATAAACAGACAGTAAACAGACAGTATGTGGGAACAGTTGCTGACTGGCCAACGATGTGTTTGTGTCCACAGCTGGTTTACGAGTTCTTCCTTCGCTTCCTGGAGTCTCCGGACTTTCAGCCAAACGTTGCCAAAAAATACATCGACCAAAAGTTTGTGATGTCGGTAAGCTGAGCTGTGTGTGTGAGTGAGACGTGTGTGTGTGTGTGTGTGTGTGTGTGTGTGTGTGTGTGTGTGTGTGTGTGTGTGTGTGTGTGTGTGTGTGTGTGTGTGTGTGTGTGTGAGACGTGTGTGTGTGTGTGTGAGACGTGTGTGTGTGTGTGTGAGACGTGTGTGTGTGTGTGTGAGACGTGTGTGAGACGTGTGTGAGACGTGTGTGTGTGCGCGTGTGTGTGCACAGACCCCTCACTGTGTGTTTGTGTTGAAGCTGCTGGAGCTGTTTGACAGTGAGGATCCCAGAGAGAGAGACTTCTTGAAGACCATCCTGCACCGGATCTACGGCAAGTTCCTCGGCCTCCGCGCCTACATCCGCCGCCAGATCAACAACATCTTCTACAGGTCAGAACAGCCATTAAAAACCTTCACACTGACACACTCAGTTACTATGGCAACGGCTCCATCACACACACACACACACACACACACACGTTCAGTTGGTTTAGTATCTGATCCACCAACCAACTCTGATTATACTGAGAAATGATCAATATTGATCAGTGTACACTGTATCTTTATGGATGATATTGATCAGTATACACTGTATCTGTATGGATGATATTGATCAGTATACACTGTATCTTTATGGATGATATTGATCAGTATACACTGTATCTTTATGGATGATATTGATCAGTATACACTGTATCTTTATGGATGATATTGATCAGTATACACTGTATCTTTATGGATGATATTGATCAGTATACACTGTATCTTTATGGATGATATTGATCCTGTATTGACAGTCAGACTGTGGACATATGACGGCCTTTAGCTCGTGTTTCTAGAGTTACGTGTTGTTACGAACACGTTAGGAATTGTTAAAATGTGATATTTCTTAAAGGGAGTTTGGTGCAGGGAGCTTTTAGTTGGATTCAAACTGCTGATATGGATCATTGTTAACGTTTAGTCTCCACTACAGAAACACTAGCTAACTGCTAAAGGCTGATCAGGTTGATTGATGCTTTAATAATGGGAGTATTGATTAGTGATCAGGTTGATCAGGATCAATATCAGCCTTTCTAATTATACATGATGTGCTCTTTAGTAGTGCTGTTGTGAACAGAATCAAGATCTGACCACTTGTTGTGTTACAGATTTATCTACGAGACAGAACATCACAACGGCATCGCTGAGCTGCTGGAGATACTGGGGAGGTGAACACACACACACACACACACACACACACACACACGTCCTGGAAAACCTGGAATTTTAGAGACTAGTTTTCGAGTCATGGAAACACCTGGAAACTAAAATAACCAAATACCCTGGAAATAATCAGTGTTGTCCTGAAGCATTTGAATAGTATTTTATCTGCTCACTCATGTTTAGTTCAGCTGTTGGTGGAGAACCTGCAGTCTCACACACACAGCGGCTCTACAGACGTCGAACAATAATTAGACACACAGCGATGTTGACACATCCTTTAACACTTTCAACACGGGAGAAGATGAATGTAAAGAAAAATAAATGGTAGTTGATGTTAACTGGTAACTGCAGTGAATTCACTGGAGAGTCTCGTAAACTGACCTCCGACCTGTAATGAACCTGTTTCCTGTCTGTCCGTCCTCTCATTTCTATCTGTTCAAGGCTGTTTCATTATCTGAATGGAGGCTGTTGATGTCGCTCTTTATAATAAAGTGTTTGTATCTTATCGTCTCTCAGTATCATCAATGGATTCGCTCTTCCACTGAAAGAAGAACATAAGATGTTTCTGATCCGAGTTCTTCTGCCGCTTCATAAAGTTAAATCTCTCAGCGTCTACCACCCACAGGTAACAAACCACTTTAATCTTTTATTACTTCTTAAAAGCAGCTTTTATACATCGGCCTTCATTTACGTTATTCTATATCATTTTATTCTATGGCTTCTACTGCGCTCTTATTCTGGTAGTCTTTATCTAATTACATTTTACTTTGTACCTTTTGTTACTGTCTGTCTGACTGTGTGTCTGACTGTCTATCTGTCTGACTGCCTCTGTCTGTCTGCAGCTGGCGTACTGTGTGGTCCAGTTCCTGGAGAAAGACAGCAGTCTAACAGAGCCGGTGAGTCTGCCGACATCCCTCCTGTTTCCACGGCAACGCTGCCAATGTGCTGCTGCCGATGTTTTGTTCCCATAGCAACGCACAGAGGGCGGATACAGTCACTAACCCAGATTGAATGCTCAGGCTGTGACCTTTGACCCCCCCCCTTGCAGGTGATCATGGGTCTGCTGAAGTTCTGGCCGAAGACTCACAGTCCGAAGGAGGTGATGTTCCTGAACGAGCTGGAGGAGATTCTGGACGTCATCGAGCCCTCAGAGTTCGTTAAAGTCCAGGAGCCGCTCTTCAGGCAGCTCGCCAAGTGTGTGTCCAGCCCACATTTCCAGGTACCAGAACCAGAACTACATCAGAACACAAAACCAGAACCAGACCAAACCACTTACACTAGTGCCGTCACAAACAGCTGTAGCAGATTGGAAGCTAACCGTTAGCTGCTGCAGTAGTTTCTCACCCGCAGGAATTATTGATCTACAGTTTATTTTCAATCAATGAAAGTGATCTGAGACTTGTGTCTGTCTGGATCACTGATCAGACCCAACCACAGACCCAACCACAGACCCAACCACAGACCCAACCATAGACCCAACCACAGACCCTATAACAGACACGCTCACAGACACAATCACTTATTCTTTTTCATAATTGATTGTCCCTCATTGTTTGCAAATCGATTACATAATCAGATTCAGAATAATATCCCACTGATTTTTCTAATTAAAAGTCAGAGAGGAAGTGATACAGTCTGAGAGATCAACTGTAACCTGATGGTGATGGTGATGATGGTGATGGTGATGAAGATGATGATACTGTGTGCAGGTGGCAGAGAGAGCTCTGTATTACTGGAACAACGAGTACATCATGAGTCTGATCAGTGACAACGCTGCAAAGATTCTCCCCATCATGTTTCCTGCTCTCTACAAGAACTCTAAGAGCCACTGGAACAAGTAACACACACACAGACACACACACTGTAACACACAGTAACACACAGTAACACACACACACACACTGTAACACACAGTAACACACATAACACACACACACATGTAACACACAGTAACACATACACACACAACACACAGTAACACACAGTAACACATACACAGACACACACAGACACACACACTGTAACACACAGTAACGCATACACACACACACACACACTGTAACACACAGTAACACATACACACACACACACACACACACACACACACTGTAACACACAGTAACACATACACACACACACACACACACACACACTGTAACACACAGTAACACATACACACACACACACACACACTGTAACACACAGTAACACATACACACACACACACACACACACTGTAACACACAGTAACACAGACACACACACTGTAACATGCACACTGTAACACACACACACCCCAACACAGTAACACACACACAAACACCCCAACACAGTAACACACACACACACACACAGTAACACACATACACACAGTAACACACATACACACAGTAACACACATACACACAGTAACACACACATACACACAGTAACACACACAGTAACACACATACACACAGTAACACACATACACACAGTAACACACACATACACACAGTAACACACACACACACAGTAACACACACACACACACAGTAACACACACAGTAACACACAGTAACACAGTAACACACACACACACAGTAACACACACACACAGTAACACACACACAGTAACACACACAGTACACACACACACACACACACACACAGTAACACACACGCACACACACACACAGTAGCACACATACACACAGTAACACACACACACACACAGTAACACACACATACACACAGTAACACACACACACACAGTAACACACACAGTAACACACATAGTAACACACACACATACACACACACACACACACACACAGTAATACACACAGACACACAGTAACACACACACAGTCACACACACAGTAACACACACACACAGTAACACACAACACACAGTAACACAGTAACACACACACACACATACATACACACACTAAACACACATACACACAGTAACACACACACACAGTAACACACACACATACACACACACAGTAACACACACACATAACACACACACAGTAACACACAGTCACATACACACAGTAACACACACTAACATACACACAGTAACACACACACATACACACACACACACAGTAACACACACACACACATACACACAGTAACACATACACACAGCACATACACACAGTAACACATACATACAGTAACACACACACACACAGTAACACACACAGTACACATACACACAGTAACACAGTAACACACACACACACACACACACACACACACTACATACACACAGTAACACACACACATACATACACACAGTAACACACACACATACATACACACATAACACACACACATACATACACACATACACACACATACATACACACATACACACAGTAACACACACACACACACACAGTAACACACACACACACACACACAGTAACACACACACATACATACACACATACATACACACAGTAACACACACACACATACACACAGTAACACACACACATACATACACACGCACACACACAGAAACATAACACACACACACACACACACAGTAACACACACACACACACACACACATACATACACACAGTAACACACACACACATACACACAGTAACACACGCACACACACAGTAACACACACACACACACACTGTCTGTAGTTCATTATTAACATTTTGTATCATCACTTTTTTATTTTTTTATTTTACTTTTGGAAATGATTATAGATTATTGATTGATCAGCTCCATATAGAACATAGCTCTAGAGTTTATACCCTGTTTATTGATTATTAGGGCTGTAACGGTTCTGAAACCGAGACCGAAATCGCGACACAAAAGTCCACGGTCTCGTGTCGCGGATCCGAGAGACAGAACAGCGACACACTCGCTCCCTGGACTGTTGAGCTCTCGTTAAGACAGTGTAACTGCGGCGGTGGCGGCGGCCCGTGGGGTGGTAGCGGTGTACGCCTATATCGTATTTGTATTGACAGTTGGTTATTCTAGGTTACTGTTTGTTTACTACTTTAATCTGCTCCCTTTCTCTTCTCCCCACACTCACACACACTCACACACCTAGTCTGGACCTCTGCTCACTCACAGCAAACACGCCCTCTTGCTCCGCCTCTTTCTGTCTCTCTCTCCCTGTGTGTGTCTCTGCTGACTTTCTCCATCAGCAGTACGTTTCATAAACTCACCCGTGATTCAGTTTAAGTGCACTGCATGTGGGTCCAAACCCAAACTAACGTTAGTGAGTGACATCTGCAGTGGTGCGTTCACTGACGCTCCGTAATGTAAGATTTCTGCCGTATCAGCTTAACGTAATATCAGATAACAAATAAAACGGGGAAAACCGCGGTATGAACCGAACCGTGGCTCAAAAATCGAGGTCTGAACCGAACCGTGGATTTGGTGAATCGTTACACCCCTATTGATTATAGATTATTGATTATATAACAGGTGATACTGACTCTGTGTCTTCAGGACGATCCACGGATTGATCTACAACGCTCTCAAACTCTTTATGGAGATGAACCAGAAACTGTTTGATGACTGCACACAGCAGTACAAGGCTGAGAAACAAAAGTAACTGACAACCACAGACACACCTACAGACAGACACACACATCTACCTACAGACAGACACACACATCTACCTACAGACAGACACACACATCTACCTACAGACAGACACACACATCTACCTACAGACAGACACATCTACCACAGACAGACACACCAAGACAGACACACAACACCACAGACAGACACACACATCTACCTACAGACAGACACACACATCTACCTACAGACAGACACACACATCTACCTACAGACACACACACCTACAGACAGACACACACACCTACAGACAGACACCTCTACAGACAGACACATCTTCTGACAGACACACCTACAGACAGACACATCTTCTGACAGACACACCTACAGACAGACAGACACACCTACAGACAGACACATCTTCTGACAGACACACCTACAGACAGACAGACACACCTACAGACAGACAGACACACCTACAGACAGACACACCTACAGACAGACACACACATCTACCTACAGACAGACACACCTACCGACAGACACACACATCTACCTACAGACACACACATCTACCTACAGACAGACACACCTACAGACACACACACCTACAGACAGACACACACATCTACCTACAGACAGACACACCTACAGACAGACACACACATCTACCTACAGACAGACACATCTACCTACAGACAGACACACCTACAGACAGACACACACATCTACCTACAGACAGACACACACATCTACCTACAGACAGACACACACATCTACCTACAGACACACACACCTACAGACAGACACACACACCTACAGACAGACACCTCACAGACAGACACATCTTCGACAGACACACCACAACAGACACATCCACAACACACCACAAAACAGACACACCTACAGACAGACACACACATCTACCTACAGACAGACACACACACTACCTACAGACAGACACACACATCTACCTACAGACAGACACACCTACAGACAGACACACCTACAGACAGACACACACATCTACCTACAGACAGACACACCTACCGACAGACACACACATCTACCTACAGACAGACACACCTACAGACACACACACCTACAGACAGACACACACATCTACCTACAGACAGACACACCTACAGACAGACACACACATCTACCTACAGACAGACACATCTACCACAGACAGACACACCTACAGACAGACACACACATCTACCTACAGACAGACACACACACACCTACAGACAACACACACACACCTACAGACAGACACACACATCTACCTACAGACACACACACCTACAGACAGACACACACACCTACAGACAGACACCTCTACAGACAGACACATCTTCTGACAGACACACCTACAGACAGACACATCTTCTGACAGACACACCTACAGACAGACAGACACACCTACAGACAGACACACACATCTACCTACAGACAGACACACACATCTACCTACAGACAGACACACACATCTACCTACAGACAGACACACCTACAGACAGACACACCTACAGACAGACACACACATCTACCACAGACAGACACACTACCGACAGACAGACACACCTACCGACAGACACACACATCTACCACAGACAGACACACCACAGACACACACACCTACAGACAGACACACACATCTACCTACAGACAGACACACCTACAGACAGACACACACATCTACCTACAGACAGACACATCTACCTACAGACAGACACACCTACAGACAGACACACACATCTACCTACAGACAGACACACCTACAGACAGACACACACATCTACCTACAGACAGACACACCTACAGACAGACACACACATCTTCTGACAGACACCTCTACAGACAGACACACCTACAGACAGACACACCTACAGACAGACACACACATCTACCTACAGACAGACACACCTACAGACAGACACACTACAGACAGACACACACATCTTCTGACAGACACCTCTACAGACAGACACATCTTCTGACAGACAGACACACCTACAGACAGAGACACCTACAGACACATCTTCTGACAGACAGACACACCTACAGACAGACACACCTACAGACGGACAGACAGACACATCTTCTGACAGACAGACACCTACAGACAGACAGACACACCTACAGACAGACAGACAGACACACCTACAGACAGACAGACAGACACACCTACAGACAGACACATCTACTGACTGTCTGTGTGTCTGCAGGGAGAAATACAAACTGAAGGAGAGAGAGGAGATCTGGCACAAGATAGAGGAGCTGGCCAGACAGAACCCACAGGTACCACACTCACCTGACACTGTGTCCAAAGGTTGTTCACATTTCATCTGTATTGGTACCAGTTATAGTATCAGTATCAGTACCAGTATCAGTACCAGTACCAGTATCAGTACAGTATCAGTACAGTTCCAGTATCAGTATCAGTACAGTACCAGTACCAGTATCAGTACAGTATCAGTACCAGTACCAGTACCAGTCAGTACCAGTACCAGTTATAGTATCAGTATCAGTATCAGTACCAGTACCAGTTATAGTATCAGTATCAGTACCAGTATCAGTACCAGTATCAGTACCAGTATCAGTACCAGTACCAGTATCAGTACCAGTATCAGTACCAGTATCAGTACCAGTATCAGTACCAGTACCAGTATCAGTACCAGTACCAGTATCAGTACAGTATCAGTACAGTACCAGTACAGTATCAGTACAACAGTACCAGTATCAGTACCAGTACCAGTACCAGTACCAGTATCAGTACAGTTCCAGTACCAGTATCAGTACAGTACCAGTATCAGTACCAGTATCAGTACCAGTATCAGTACCAGTATCAGTACCAGTATCAGTACCAGTATCAGTACAGTATCAGTACAGTACCAGTACCAGTATCAGTACAGTTCCAGTACCAGTATCAGTATCAGTACAGTACCAGTACCAGTTATAGTATCAGTATCAGTACCAGTATCAGTATCAGTACAGTACCAGTACCAGTTATAGTATCAGTACAGTACCAGTACCAGTATCAGTACAGTACCAGTATCAGTACCAGTACCAGTATCAGTACAGTACCAGTATCAGTACCAGTATCAGTACAGTACCAGTATCAGTATCAGTACAGTACCAGTACCAGTACCAGTTATAGTATCAGTACAGTACCAGTATCAGTACAGTACCAGTACCAGTTATAGTATCAGTATCAGTACCAGTATCAGTATCAGTACAGTACCAGTACCAGTTATAGTATCAGTACCAGTATCAGTACAGTACCAGTACCAGTATCAGTACCAGTACCAGTATAAGTACAGTATCAGTACAGTACCAGTATCAGTATCAGTACCAGTACCAGTACCAGTATCAGTACAGTTCCAGTACCAGTATCAGTATCAGTACAGTACCAGTACCAGTACCAGTTATAGTATCAGTACCAGTACCAGTATCAGTATCAGTACAGTACCAGTATCAGTACAGTTCCAGTATCAGTACAGTACCAGTATCAGTATCAGTACAGTACAGTACCAGTACCAGTTATAGTATCAGTACAGTACCAGTATCAGTATCAGTACAGTACCAGTACCAGTTATAGTATCAGTATCAGTACCAGTATCAGTATCAGTACAGTACCAGTACCAGTTATAGTATCAGTATCAGTACCAGTAACTAGTATCAGTATCAGTATTAGTACAGTACCAGTACCAGTACCAGTAATAGTATCAGTACAGTAATAGTACCAGTACCAGTATCAGTAACTAGTACCAGTACCAGTATCAGTACAGTACCAGTAATAGTACCACCAGCTAACGGCTGCAGAGACTTTGAGGCTGATGGTCAGACGTGTTGTCTGACTGTGACTGGAACAAACTGCAGGGTTCTGGTTACTCCGTAGAACCGCTGTGGTTCAGGGCCCAGTTCAGTACCCAATAATAATGATTTTATTGTTTTATTAAATTAACTGTGTGTGAAGTTGTTGTTTATTTATTAAATTAACTGTGTGTGAAGTTGTTGTTATTATTTATTAAATTAACTGTGTGTGAAGATGTTGTTTTTATTTATTAAATTAACTGTGTGTGAAGTTGTTGTTATTATTTATTAAATTAACTGTGTGTGAAGTTGTTGTTTTTATTTATTAAATTAACTGTGTGTGAAGATGTTGTTTTTATTTATTAAATTAACTGTGTGTGAAGTTATTATTTATTTATTAAATTAACTGTGTGTGAAGTTATTATTTATTTATTAAATTAACTGTGTGTGAAGTTGTTGTTATTATTTATTAAATTAACTGTGTGTGTTCTTTCAGAGCAATAAGCTCCACCCCCTCCGCCCCGGGCTCCACCCACAGGAAGAGGTCAGTTCTGTCTTTGAATCTAAATGATGCTCATAAAGGGGGCCTGTCACTTTAAGAGAGTGTTGCATTGTGGGATGTTGCTAGGCTGGTAAGTGGACCCTGCTGGCTCCTGTAACAGATTATTGATTATTGATGGTGTCTGTGTCCCTGCAGTACATGCTGTACAGCGACAGTACCACTGTGGCTGTGTACTCCATGGAGACCGAGACTCCAACGGCCGAAGACATCCAGCTGCTGAAGAAGACCGTGGAGAGCGAGGCCTCACAGGTACTGCTGATCCATCCATTGATCGATCGATCAATGAGCTGCTGTCAGCCCTCTGACCCCCTCTGTGTCCCCCCTCAGGGTATGAAGGACCTGAAGAAGGACAAGGTCCTGATGAGGAGGAAGTCTGAGCTGCCGCAGGACGTCTACACCATCAAAGCTCTGGAGGCTCACAAGAGAGCCGAGGAGTACCTGACAGCCAATCAGGAGGCTCTCTGACCGGGGGGGGCGGTCCCTCCTGAGCCCGACTCCGCCCCCCCCTCCTGGAGGAGGAGAATTTGGTCTGGGGTCAGATCGGGACGGAGCTGACGCTGCGTTCAACAACAAAACAGAAAAAACCCCTCTGACCTCTGACCCCTGACCCCTGCTGGCCCATGAGTCAGCAGTCATGTGACAATGACATCATCAGCTTAATGTTGCACGTTCATTCCAACACCTGCTGCCGGAGGGTCCCTGAACACACCACCATTACAGGAAGTGAAGCTGGTTCTGGTTCTGGTTCTGGCTCTGGCTCTGGTTCTGGTTCTGGCTCTGGCTCTGGCTCTGGCTCTGGTTCTGGTTCTGGCTCTGGTTCTGGTTCTGGCTCTGGCTCTGGCTCTGGTTCTGGCTCTGGTTCTGGCTCTGGTTCTGGCTCTGGTTCTGGTTCTGGTTCTGGCTCTGGCTCTGGCTCTGGCTCTGGTTCTGGTCCACAGTAAAACCGGTCCTCTCCGCTGACGCTCTGTGCAGCAGGAAGTTTCTCATCGTAAATAACCGCGGCAGCAGAACCAGGTCCAGGTCCTGAGGCGGTCCAGAGGGACGTACTATGTGTAAGCGTTATATAGCAGCGATAGAGTAACAGCCTGATCCATAATGAATATTGATTATCTGCTGATCTGTCCCAACTCGTCCTTATTAGGACCGGAACCACTGCAGCCGGTCCCGAACGCACAGTGGAACGTTCTCAGCGTTCAGTCTAACGGCGTGTTCGTGTCCAGCGCCGCACCAACTCCAGGTCGGCCATCGGATTCTGTCGCTGCGATCTGAAGACCGTCGGGATTAAACAAAGGATCGGGATTCACGTAGCCAGTATTGATCAGAGATGAATCAGCATCGATATTGATCCCTGAGACAGACGACCTCATCGATACCGTCAATACAGGAAGTGAACGCGGCGGTTTGCACTACACTGCTTACGCCGCCGCGTTCAGGGACATCACTGACGTACGACATTTAAACTCCGTTACCATGGCGACTGGGTTTAAAGACACTTTGGTGACGTTACTTCCAAGCACGAAGTGGACACGTTTGTCCTGTGGCACCTGAACGCAGCACAGATGAGATTCACTACAGAGCCCCGCCCCCTTCACCTGACCTGACCAATCACCTGTCGGCACAGATCTGTGGCGGGCTGACGAGGAGGAGACGTCCAATCAGCATCCAGAAGAAACGTTTTACTTCCTGTTTGTGTTTGTTTGTCCGCTGTGACGTCATCGACTTTAAACCAATGAGAGAAGTCGTCCTTCGTTGTAGAACAAAAGCTGTAATCTGAACTCGTCAGGTCAAAGGTCAAACACGATGATGTGTTCAGGAATTGTGGGAATTATGCAATCTGTAAAAGAAGCTTCAGATCTGAATTCAGATTCAGTGAGTCGTTTTTATTTAATGTAATAATTCATTAGTTTCTTTACACAGAGGCTTTTATTGTGAAGGAAACTGCAGGAAATGAGTCAAAATCGACCCGGGGACGCTGTGATCGTGGGTCCTGTATCTGAACCACTTCCTGTGCTGGGACCGAGCACACAGTCCCTGAACTCGTCACAGCTAACGACGAACGTCGTAACAAACACTAACGTAGGCCTGAGCTTTACCTCGCCAAAATAAAAGCTGGTGAGCAGAATAAAAATGGAGATATCGTTAAAAACACTAATATTCTTTCTGATCTCCACCCTGCGGACTCCCATGATCCTCTGCTGCCTCGCGTTGTTGTGAACGGATAAACACAATAAAGAAAAGTTTCCTGATGAGAACCAGCGATGTGACGTTTAATGTCTGCAGTATTTCCCGGCTCTGATCCATTCGAGAGCATTAACGTCTGTCTTTGTGAACATTGAACGCGTCGCTGTTGGCGTTGAGCAATATGGTTGACACGTACACAAGCCCCTCCCCTTCTTACTTACCTTGTCAGCTGGTTTCCGTTGGGTTGAATGTGGTCTTCTACTCGCTGTCCACCAGTGACCGTTCCAGTGGTCGGCTCGCCCCGCCCCACCTCTCGCCGCTGGACAAAATGGCCGCCACAGCTCAGCTTTATTTTATGTTTGTGACTAAAAACTGACAAAACACAACTTTGGTTGATTTGTAACCGAGGGTCGATATGGTTCCAGACGTTCAGACAGGAAGTGGGTTATAGACCCACGTGTTCACACATTATCCTGTGTACTTTGTGTAGTTGGAGGACCCTCCAGCAGGGGGCAGATCAGGTCTGAGCCAGAATATCTGGAACTTCTTCACAGCTTTATTTTGTTGTCGTCGTGGTCGGACCTGAGCGATGTTTGTCTGATACACTATCAGACTTTTACATATAAATATACGAAATAAAGAATGTTTCTGTCACCGACTTGTAAAGAAAGTCCTCACTAACTGAATGTGACGTAGCTTCACTGCACCGTGATTCATAACAACAACAATAATCATTTCACGTTCATCCGGAGAAATTAAAGTTCAGGAAGTGAGTTTATAAAGCCTCAGAGGAGTAACGTCTGATTCTGGAGGAAGAGTGAGGAAGCTCAGTCTCCGGTTGCTCCCTCAGAGTCCTCGAACGTCCTCATAAAGTCTGTGTCTTAATGACTCTGTAACCCGAGAGGAGCTGAAGAGGGTTCTCTTGTTTTTGTCCAGCGGCGACTCGACGTCGACACAAAGGTGAAACATTTAGTGAAAGAACGCTGCTCCCCGTCATCCTGTACATACCTTTAATTAGAGTATTACATAGTATGAACTTTTGTACAGATGTTCATGTATGTACAGAACAAAATAAACAGAAATAAAGTGGACATGTTTGACAATCAGTTTCTGTGGTCTATACTTAATCACATTAATCCATTAACTGATCAATAAAAGGCTTTAAGGTGGAATGTGACTTTATCCTAAATAAACACTGAAAATACAAACAGGATGTTCTGTTTCCTTCTACAGAACATTATTCTCTCCGACCAACAGTCCAAAATTCTTCACAGAAAACAAAGAAAAGCAGCAAATTATCAAAATGAAGAAGCAAAAAACAACAATTCACTGATTTTAAATGCAGATCACATTTACAGTTTGCAGCAGAGGTCAGAAACTTGTTCTGATCGCAGGAAGAAACCAGGAGCAGAGCCGGCACCGAGGGTCAACAGCTGTCAACAGGAAGTAGGGGTTAGGGTCTCAGGCATGTAATGCCAACGCAGCCTTTTTAAACACACAGACGAGTGCGAGTCCAACCAGCGGCTCTGAAACTGATCCCACTCGAGCCAACGGGAGGACGCTCAGCTGCAGGTGGGTGAAGAACAACCAAAGACTCCAGACATGTTTTAACATGTTGGAAATAATAATAATTTTGAACTGCTTGGCCTTCCATACAATCGGCTATTTCTCTGTTTAACGCTTTGTGCACAAATTAAATACTGGGGTTGTAGAGAGAGAGACAGCTGAGGACAGACGGGGGGTTGTAGAGAGAGAGACAGCTGAGGACAGACGGGGGAGGGGGAGAGAGAGAGAGGGCATGACAGAGCACAGGGCCACAGGTCGGATTCGAACCCTGGCCGCTGCAGCAAGGACTCCCGACCCACTGAGCCAACCGGGCGCTGTGAAATACTGTTCACCTGTTCAATGGTTCCCAACAGCAACATGCTACGCTAACGTTAACCACAGAGGAGTTATTCTGATCCAATATTCCCGCTACAGTCGACGCAGATAACGCAAATCAATAATCATTTATTTATCACCACGACGACCGCTACAATAACATTTATTATAAAAAGACCCCGACAATTGGAGGGGAAAAAAGCAAATCAATAATCATTTATTTATCACCACGACGACCGCTACAGTCGACGCAGATAACGTAAATCAATAATCATTTATTTATCACCACGACGACGCTATCGCAGCTATGGACCAAACAAGCTAGCTTAGCCAGCTAGCATTTAACGTGTCTGCCGTCAGCGAGCTAACGAGCATTGATTAGTTTTATTGATCGCCACCCAACCTCTGTTCGCTAACATCAGTTAGTAACTGTTGGTTGGCTCTTTAGACGACGAAGACGACGAAGACGAGCTTTACTTCATTATTATTATATTATTATCCAACCTCTGCTTGTTAGCTCATGTTAGCTAGTAAGCTAACAAACAACCCGACGTTCGGACATTAGCAGAACCGATAGCAGGCTAGGCTAGCTCAGCTAGCTGCGTCTGTTTGACTGAATCAGCACAAATAAAACTAATCAATAATCTAATCAGTGTTAATCTAAAGGTTCAGCCTCTCGAGTTTATTCATAACAAACATCTGGACAAAGACACAAATGAGCTTCAATCAATGACATATTGATTACATATTGATTACATATTGATTACATATTGATTACATATTGGTACCAGAGTAAATCAGAGACAAAGCAAGGTTCAATGACTCACGTTAAACTCAACTTTCAGTTGTGATTCTCTCTGATGTTCACTTATAGTCACCTTCATTAATACCTGACCCTCTGTCAGTGTCCCTGAAGTGGTCGTGGTGCGTTCAGGGTCCATTGATGGTGGTTGTGATGTGTTTAGAGTCACCTGATGTAAGTAGTGGTCGTGGTGCATTCAGGGTCAGCTAGTGTTGAAGCTGTGGTGGTGTATTCAGGGTCCGTTCATGTTGTTGGGCTGTGGTGCGTTCAGGGTCCGTAGATGTGGTTGGGCTGTGGTGCGTTCAGGGTCCGTTCATGTGGTTGGGCTGTGGTGCGTTCAGGGTCCGTTCATGTTGTTGGGCTGTGGTGCGTTCAGGGTCCGTAGATGTGGTTGGGCTGTGGTGCGTTCAGGGTCCGTGGTGCGTTCAGGGTCCGTGGTGCGTTCAGGGTCCGTAGATGTGGTTGGGCTGTGGTGCGTTCAGGGTCCGTGGTGCGTTCAGGGTCCGTGGTGCGTTCAGGGTCCGTAGATGTGGTTGGGCTGTGGTGCGTTCAGGGTCCGTGGTGCTCAGGGTCCGCGTTAGGGTCCGTAGATGTGGTGGGCTGTGGTGGTTCAGGGTCCGTGGTGCGTTCAGGGTCCGTGGTGCGTTCAGGGTCCGTTGAGGTTGCTCCTGCGGGGGAGGCGCAGGGCGGCGGCGCTCTGCCGGCTCTGCAGGGTGTTCTCCACCATGTCCTTCCACTGGTCGTCTGAGATCTCTCTGGCCCACGACGGCACACCGAGAGACGGCAACGCCACGGCGGCCATCGTCCTCTTCACCAGCTCCACGTGGTCTGCAGGGAGACAGGAAGTGAGGTCAGTGGACAGGAAGTGAGGTCAGTGGATCAGAACCAGGGGCCAGCAGGGGCCCATAAGGGGCCCGTAAGGGGTCTGACCTGCGTCCATGGGGATGGAGGCTCGGCTCCTCACGGCCGCCGCCCCCTCAGAGTCCTCGTCCTCGTCACTGTCGGGGGGCGGAGCTTCAGGAAGGTGCAGACCCATCACCTGCAGAGAGAGACCAGAACTCTTGAGACCACTGAGGGTCCTACTGAGGGTCTGTGGGGGGGGGGCAGGACTCACCTCTATCCGATGCTGGACCTGCTGCAGCTGCTCCGTGTGGGAGGGGGCCTCCTCCTCCCCCCTCTCCTCCCCCTCCTCCCCCCGGTCCTCGCCGCCGTTGACCCCGTCAGGGTCCTGGTTCAGAGGTTGGTAATAATACCCTCCACTGTTCCCCTCTTCCTCCTCCTCCTCCTCCTCCTCCTCTCCATCCAGCTCCATCTCCCCCCCCCCCCCCCCCACCCTCTCCCCCACTCCACGCCGGCAGCAGCGCTCCGTCTGCGGGACGCTCATCCTCCCCCAGCTCGTCCTCAGAGTTCGGTAAGACTCTCTCCGGTCCCATCGCAGAGCTCCACACTTCCATCCACAGACCACCCTGGGGGGGTGAGACAGGAGGGGGGGTGAGACAGGAGGTGGGGTGAGACAGGAGGGGGGGTGAGACAGGAGGGGGGTTAAAAGTAGGGATGCACCGATGCACATTTTTTCACTTCCGATCCGATCCCGATACCTGAATTTGGATATCTGCCGATGCCGATACTATTCCGATACCAGAGCTCTGTTTGCTTTAATATTATTATTCATCATTATTGTTGACTTTATATGAGGCTGAAATAAACTCCTCTCAACAGGCAGTATGATCTGTACGTATGTATGCATGTATGTCCCAAAAGGAAACTTGAGGTAAGTATAAGGTCAGAAAAGGAAGTCAGAAAAACAGGAAATCCTATTAACAGGAAAAATCCCATTCTGAAAACAAATATACAACTGTAAGGGTTTCAAACTGATTGTCATGTCAATATTTGTTAAATTCCCAAAATGTCAAATATTTGAAATATAAGAAACACAGGATAATGTTACTGCTTCAAATGTTCATATATAGCCCTGTATCGTATAACAACTGTAATACTACTCTAACAATCAAGTGGTGGTTCTCATTTTGACCCAATAATCCTCGTGCTCTTTTGTGTGGTGCTTTTTTAAATGTTTGATTGTGTTCGTAGTGTTGTACGACGCGAGGGAGCTTCCTCCTCTCTGAATCACGGCTTTGCTAGCTGGCTGCAAACTGCTGAATGGATTTCCTGAGCGGGGGCGTGTCTCATTACTCTGTGTCTCATTGAGCCGCGCCTCCGTTCAGGAAATCCATCCCACAGTTTGCAGCCAGCAGACCGGCAGGAATCACCTGTGGAGTCAGTCAGCAGACAACGTTAACGCAGACGGGGATCATGGACATCGGATATCTGCGCAGGTTGGATCGGGAAAATCCGATCTGTGAATTACACTGGTATCGATCCCGATACCGATACTGGATCGGATCGGCCCCAGCCCTCGGTAAAAGTGATTAAAAAATAAATCTCATTGCCAACACCAGAGGAACCAGAGGAACCAGAAGAACCAGAACAAAACAAGGAACCAAGGAACAGAAAACAAAACAAAAACCAGAGGAACTAGAGGAACCAGAAGAACCAGAGGAACCAGAGGAACTAGAAGAACCAGAGGAACCAGAAGAACCAGAGGAACTAGAGGAACCAGAAGAACCAGAAGAACCAGAGGAACCAGAGGAACTAGAAGAACCAGAGGAACCAGAGAACTAGAGGAACCAGAAGAACCAGAGGAACCAGAAGAACCAGAGGAACTAGAGGAACCAGAAGAACCAGAGGAACCAGAAGAACCAGAAGAACCAGAGGAACTAGAAGAACCAGAGGAACCAGAAGAACCAGAGAACCAGAGGAACTAGAAGAACCAGAGAACCAGAAAACCAAGGAACCAGAAAACCAGAAGAACCAAGGAACCAAAAACCAGAAAACCAAGGAACTAGAAAACCAGAGGAACCAAGGAACCAGAAGAACTAAAAACCAGAAGAACCAGAAAACTAAGAACCAGAAAACCAGGAAACCAGGAAACCAGAGGAACCAGAAAACCAGAAAACCAAGGAACCAGAAAACCAGGAAACCAAAAACCAGAAAACCAGGAAACCAAGAACCAGAAGAACCAGAAGAACCAGAGGAACTAGAAGAACCAGAGGAACCAGAGGAACCAGGAGAACTAGAGGAACTAGAAGAACCAGAAGAACCAGAAGAACTAGAGGAACTAGAGGAACCAGAAGAACCAGGAGAACCAGGAGAACCAGGAGAACCAGAGGAAATATGACTCAAATTTCTCTTATAGAAGTTCTGCTGCAGCTTTAGAGAACCTCAGAGAGACTGTGAGCAGCAGAGTAATCAGAGTAATCAGAGTAATCAGCTGTTAGAGGGCCAGCTGCTGACGTAGGCCAGCTGCTGACGTAGGCCAGGTGCTGACGTAGGCCAGGTGTGACGTGGCCCAGGTGTGACGTAGACCCAGAATTTAAACACGTGCAGTTTTTACAGTGTTTACTAACACAGATTGTTATTGTTATTATTCTCACTCTTGTTTACACAACAACAACAACAAATCTTTAAATGTTTATGAACTGTAAACTAATAACTATTGATAATAACGCTGATCGATTAGAGCTGATTGATCGGGTCCATTCAATATGAAACGATCGATAGAACAATGAGACGATGAACTGCAGCTCACGTTGTTGTTGTTGTTGTTGTTGTTGTTGTTGTTAGTGATGAACCTTTCAGCCTCTGGGAGGAAACCGTCAGCAGCTAGCAGCTAACAGCTAACAGCTAACAGCTAACGGAGCTAACAGCTGTTTGTTATCGATCAGTAAACTCTTCTTCTACTCCTCCAAGTTGGTTTGTGTCCGGAATAAGAAGAAGAACAAACTGTCCGGTGAGGTGTGTTTGATTATTATTATTATTATTATTATTATTATTATTATTATTACCTGTGTTAGCCGCTGTTAGCCGCTGTTAGCCGCTGTTAGCGGCCCCTGTTGATCACACACTTCCGGGTACGTCACCACGCCGCAACACAACTGACGCCGGTCTTCTTCTTCTTCTTCTTCTTCTTCTTCTTCTTCTTCTTCTTGACATCGTCCACCAAACAGACCCAGGAGCAGCGCCATCCGCACACAGCTTCTGTGGAAACGGCAGAAAGAGGAGGAGAAGAAGACTGTTGTGGTCTGATTGAAGCTGCAGAGAAAGAAAGAAAGAAAGAAAGAAAAAAGGAAGGAAAGAAAGAAAGAAAGAAAGAAAGAAGAAAGAAGGAAAGAAAGAAAGAAAGAAGGAAAGAAAAAAGGAAGGAAAGAAGGAAAGAAAGAAAGAAAGAAAGAAAGAAAGAAAGAAAGAAAGAAAGAAAGAAAGGAAAGAAAGAAAGAAGAAGAAAGAAAAAAGGAAGGAAAGAAAGAAAGAAGGAAAGAAAAAAGGAAGGAAAGAAGGAAAGAAAGAAAGAAAGAACGAAGGAAAGAAAGAATGGAAGAAAGAATGAAAGAAGGAAAGAAAGAAAGAAGGAAAGAAAGAAAGAAAGAAAGAAAGAAAGAGAAAGAAAGAAAGAAAGAAAGAAAGAAAGAAAGAAAGAAAGAAAGAAAGAAAGAAAGAAAGAAGGAAAGAAAGAAGGAAAGAAGGAAAGAAAGAAGGAAAGAAAGAAAGAAGGAAAGAAAAAAGGAAGGAAAGAAGGAAAGAAAGAAAGAAAGAACGAAGGAAAGAAAGAATGGAAGAAAGAATGAAAGAAGGAAAGAAAGAAGGAAAGAAGGAAAGAAAGAAAGAAAGAAAGAAAGAAAGAAAGAAAGAAAGAAGGAAAGAAAGAAGGAAAGAAAGAAGGAAAGAAAGAAGGAAAGAAAGAAAGAAGGAAAGAAAAAAGGAAGGAAAAAAGGAAAGAAAGAAAGAAAGAAGGAAAGAAAGAAAGAAAGAAAGAAAGAAAGAAAGAAGGAAAGAAAAAAGGAAGGAAAAAAGGAAAGAAAGAAAGAAAGAAGGAAAGAAAGAAGGAAGGAAAGAAGGAAAGAAAGAAAGAAAGAAAGAAAGAAAGAAAGAAAGAAAGAAAGAAAGAAAGAAAGAAAGAAAGAAAGAAAGAAAGAAGGAAAGAAAGAAAGAAAGAAGGAAAGAAGGAAAGAAAGAAAGAAAGAAAGAAAGAAGGAAAGAAAGAAAGAAAAAGAAAGAAAGAAAGAAAGAAGGAAAGAAAGAATGAAAGAAAGAAAGAAAGAAGGAAAGAATGAAAGAAAAAAGGAAGGAAAGAAGGAAAGAAAGAAAGAAAGAAGGAAAGAAAGAATGAAGGAAAGAAAGAAGGAAAGAAAGAATGAAAGAAAGAAAGAAAGAAAAAAGAAAGAAAAAAAAAAGAAGGAAAGAAAAAAGAAAGAAAAAGAAAAAGGAAAGAAAGAAAGAAAGAAAGAAAGAATGAAAGAAAGAAAGAAAGAAGGAAAGAAGGAAAGAAAAAAGGAAGGAAAGAAGGAAAGAAAGAAAGAAAGAAAGAAAGAAAGAAAGAAAGAAGGAAAGAAGGCTCATTCAGCAGGAACCCTGTCATCATTGATGGAAGAGAGGAACGTCCAGAGATACTTGATCGATCCCCGATGGCCACTTCACCCACTGGTGCAGCTCCACACCCTTCACTCAGCAGATGATCATTATGTTCTGTGAGCTCTGTGTGAGTGCACATACTGTAACTGGTGGTGAAGTGTGCTGAACATCTCTAGACTGCAGACAGTATGACTGTGGCTCATTACTACAGTGAGGAGGGACAAAGATTCTTTTTCCTTTTCTCCTGTTAATGACCTTTTCTATAATTTAAGAGCTGAATAAATGAAGCCACTTTCTACTGATATTATCTACCTCGTGGAGATTGTTTGACACTGGATTATATAGTATTGCTGTTCTACTTTATTAAGGGATAGAGACTGTTCCCTATATTCTTCTAGTACTTAAGACTTTTTACCTTTTATAGAACTTGTTCCTAGTACTTCTTTGTGACATTGTCTTTTTCTGTTTTTTCTCTTAACGCCAGGGGGCTAAGACAGAATGTCAAACGAAAATCTTTATTTCTGTTTTTCAAAGCAGCAAAAAACTGATTTTTCTTTTTTTCAAGAGAAGCATTCAGTTAAGAACGATGCACAATTATGGAAAGCACAGTGGGGTAATGATATTTGGTTATCACATGGCTCAGAAAGAGCAGCAGGTGCTGCTATTTTGAAGAACTCCTTTAACGGGGAAATTTTACATTCTGAAAGTAATCCTAAAGGTAATTTCTTTATCTTGATTATTAATATCAATGATACTGTAATTTTATTAGTTAACTTGTATGGGTACAATTCGAAGGGTGAAAACGATATATTGCTTGATGTGTTAGAATCTCGCTTCTTACATTGGCTTTCTTAATATCCAAACGGAATGATAGTGATGGGGGGGGGGACTTTAATATTGCTCTGGATGGTCTTCAAGATAGGTGGCCTCCGCGATCCAATTATTATATGGCCTCCAATTTCATATAATTTATGCATAAATTCAACTTAATTGATATATGGAGAGAAAAAAACCCTGGTGTGAGTTCATATACTTGGAGCAATAAAACATATACTAGCTTATCACGCATAGACTTTTGGTTGATTTCTAACTGTTTTGATAGTAGTATTATCTGTCAATATCCTCACTACTCCTTTAACAGACCACAAAGCAATTTCAATACAAATCTCTCTAAATCCTAATATTCACCATAGAAGTTCATATTGGAAACTGAACAGCTCTATTCTAAAACATGACACTGTGTCTAAAACTGTCCAATCATTAATTGAACACTTTTGGCAAAAGTCTTTATTAGAAAATAATTTTTGTAGTACTTGGGAACTTTTAAAATTTGAATTATCAAAATTCTTGAGAGCATATGGAAGTTCGATTGCTAAGGCCAGAAAAGCTGAAGAAGAAACTCTAACCTCAGAAATAATATCAATAACGCAAAAAACTAATGTAAATTTAACTGAAAATAATTCTCAACATTTAATTAGGTTGCAAAACAAATTAGATGACATTTAAAGATTGAAGGCTGAGGGGGCCTTTGTGAGAAGTAGAAGAAGGTGGCTAGAGGAATGGGAGCGGAATACTGCTTACTTTTTTATGCTAAAAATAACACAATACAAAAATGAAATATTAATGGAGACATTACAGATGACCCTCATAAAATAGCTAAATATTGTTCAGATTTTTATACCAAATTATATGAATCAAAATACTGTGAAGAATCTACCTGTCAATTTTTAGGGTCTCTTACAGAAACGAAGTCAATTGATATTGACTTAAAAGAATCTTGTGACAAACCACTAACACTACAGGAAGTTATATTGGCTATTGACACCTCAAGCTTAATAAATCTCCAGGCACAGATGGTATTACTTCTGAATTTTATAAAACATTTTCCAAACAGCTTGCACCTTTCCTCTTAGGTCTTTTCTCAGAATGTTTAAGCAATGAATCCCTTCCTCCTACCTTAACCCAAGGCCTTATATCTCTAATACCAAAACCAAAGAAAGACATACTCCTCATTGACAACTGGCGCCCAATTTGTTTACTTAATAATGATTACAAATTATTTGCATTGATATTTGCTAAAAGAATTAAACTTGTTTTAGACTACAAAATTGATGAAACTCAATCTGGCTTCATGAGAAATAGACATATTTCCAACAATGTCAGATTAGTACTTGATTTAATTGATTATTCAGATTTAAGCCTTGAGGAAAGTTTCATTCTTTTTTTAGATTTTTACAAGGCTTTCAATACAATCGAACACAAATTCATATTCCATGCCCTAGAAAAATTTGGTTTTGGTTCATACTTCAGCCGTGCCATCAAAACAATGTATACAAATGGAAACTGCTCAATCAAATTGCATGCTGGTACTTCTCCTCGTTTCTTCCTCAAACGCGGGGTCAAGCAGGGATGCCCTATATCTCCTTACCTTTTTCTCCTATGTACGCAGCTACTCACCGACTCTATAAAGCTTAGTCCATTAAAAGGTATCTCAATGGCGGGCAACGAAGTTATCATCAGCCAACTGGCTGATGATACGACCTTATTCTTAAAAGATAGCTCTCAGATACCTTTAGCCATTGACTTGATAAGTACTTTCTCTATTGCTTCTTTGCTTGAATGTAAAGAAATGTGAATTGCTTGCTCTTAAATTTTGTAATACCCCTTTTATATGTTATATACCTATAAAAGACTCTATTACTTACTTAGGTATTGTCATTACTAAAGATAAGGAAGCCAGATGCGAATTAAACTTTAACTTAATTATTGATAAAACCCAGAAAAATTGAATCAATGGCTACAGAGAGATTTGTCATTGAGAGGCTGAATTTTGCAAACCAAAGCTGAGGGACTATCCCGTCTTAAATAATTCAATTCAATTTTATTTGTATAGTGCCAATTCATAACAGAAGTTATCTCAGGACACTTTTCAAATAGAGCAGGTCTAGACCGAACTCTTTAACATTAATTACAGAGACCCAACAGTACCACCATGAGCAAGCACTTGGCGACAAGGGCAAGGAAAAACTGCCTGTTAAAAGGCAGAAACCTAGGACAGATCCTCCGGCTCTAGGTGGGTGGTCGTCTGTCTCGACCAGTTGGGGTGAGAGAGAGAGAGAGACAGACAGACAGACAGACAGACAGACAGACAGACAGACGCACAGCAACAACAGTATTGGCAATGGCAATCTAGCAGGACCATGGCAGGAGGCTCCACCAGGATCGATAAAAACCTGCGAGACGAGAAAGCACAAGAACTCCGGGGAAGAAGTGAAGTTAGTAACATGCATTAATGGGACATGAATGAGTGAAGAAAGAGAGAGGAAGAGAGGAGCTCAGTGCATCATGGGAAATCCCCCGATAGTCTAGGCCTATAGCAGCATAACTAAGGGATGGTTCAGGACTCACCTGATCCAGCCCTAACTATAAGCTTTATCAAAGAGGAATGTCTTAAGCCTACTCTTGAATGTGGTGAGGGTGTCTGCCTCCCGAACCACAACTGGAAGCTGGTTCCACAGGAGAGGAGCTTGGTAACTGAAGGCTCTGGCTCCTGTTCCACTTTT